TCATTACTCGCCCATGACTAGAGCATCTCAGGGAGGCAGATGCTGGCTGGAGAGCAGTTCTGTGTGAATGTGTTAACCCCTCCTGGCCAAGAGCAGTTCCCAGGCAACTTTTCTCATGGCGCTATCGCCCCGAAGTCACTGAGAGGCGGTGCATGAACCGGGAGCAGAAGTGGGCCCTGAGTGTTTGTGTAATCCCCACACCAGCTGGGTGAGGTGCACTGAGCCCCCCTAAGAAAAGGGAGAGTGGAGGCTGCTCCAAAGTCTTCACTGAGCACCAGCTGGCTCCTGGCTCATAAGGTTAGAGGTTCTGAGGTCCCAGGTTTGGTTCTTCCCGCAGACACCCCAGGTCATGGCAATGTTGAAAGCAAAACTCTTCCCCAAACTGAGCCCACGGGCTGTCAGTCAATGATCAATAATGCCCCTAAAAGAAGCAGTCACACAGGGCACTGCCTTCCCAGGATGCTCAGATATCCCTGGTTCCAGAGCCAAATTAGTCCTCTCCATCTCCCAAGAGAGCCCCGCTGAGTGTTCCATTTACTAGTTAATCACCTGTGGAACTCCTTGCCAGAGGATGTGGTGAAGGCGAGAACTTTAACAGGGTTCAAAAAAGAGCTAGATAGATTCATGGAGGTTAGACCCATCAATGGCTATTAGCCAGGATGGGTAGGGATGGTGTCCCTAGCCGCTGTTTCTCTGGAAGTGGGTGACAGGAGAGGGATCACATGAGGATTACCTGTTGTGATTCCCTCCCTCTGGGGCACGTGGAATTGGCCACTGTTGGCAGACAGGAAACTGGGCTGGATGGACCTTTGCTCTGGCCGTTCTTATGTTCTTATCTCTCTCGCTAGTTAATTTATCTAATTTAAATACCCACGAGGCCAAATGACTGACCAAGTGCAGCCATTTTATCTGCTACAATTGCCATGAACATCTGACCCACTCTGGATGGTTTGGCTAACTTGGACTGGCGACTGATTAAATCACACACTGCTTGAATCTCGGGCGCTGTACGGAGCCACTAAGTATTCTTGGTACGCGGACAACTCCAGTCCACGCAGCAGACTCAATTTCAGGATTGTCCTTTCCTTTTCAACCCTTCTTCACCTTGATCAAAAACACAGTGAAAGCACTGGGCTGCACAGTGACTGATTAACCCCGTTGGTGCTGCTGCCGCTAACGAGATCAGATACCTAACGAGGGAAGTAGTCACCTGAGGCCACAAAACTATTGTATTCATTAGCAGAGCCAAAGATACAATGCGGGAGGCCTCGCTCAAACCACACCATTGGCAGAAACAGCTGTCCAAGCCCTGAGCAGTCCAGGGATCCAGAGGAAGTTTGGGGGGAAAGGTCCGTCCTGATGCCCGCCAGAGGACATGGGTTACTTGGATCAGCGTCCTACTGCAGACACAAACGGCAGCACGCCAGCCTGAAAGCGTTCCGCAGGCAGCTTCGCAGCTCCCTCTGCCAGACACAACTAGCACTGGGACTCCCCCAGCGGAGTACGCAGCTGCAGTCTGCTTGGAGAGCGTTTCACTAGTTTCGATTTAAAATGCGGGTGGATGGAAACACAACACACCAGAGCCTGGGAAACAGTCTTCCAGCAGGATGGGCAACCAATCTGTCTGAGGCTCTGGAACAGACCGCTGGCAAGACAGCCCCCCACGTCGGCACCTGGTGCCTGCTTAGCTCTGAGCGAAGGACACGTCCTCTGGTGTGGCGAAGTGTTGAGCATTTCAGAGTGAAAACGCCGCTAGCATGCAAGCTGGCCAGAGACAGGGCAGGCGGTAGAAGAAGCTGCTCTGGTCTGATCACTTTGTGGACAGCGATCTTGCATGGACCAGGGAGTCAGACCCCGACAGGCTGTCTGAGATGACAGTACCGCCTGGAACGTTGCTCCTGTCTCAGATCCCCGTGGCTTCAGCACCATCCCTGCGATAAATTCCATTTTTAGCCCTGCCTCAGCTCTTTCCTGTTCTAATCCATGGCCCACTCACATGAGCCTGTAGGTCAGTTAGGGCCTGTCTACGCAGCAGGGCAAAAGTCAAATTAAACTACGCAGCCTCAGCTACGTCAATTGTATGGCTGAAGTCGAAATAGCTTCATTCGGCTTTTGGCGCTGTCTGTGTAACCCACACACCTAGTATAGTTCACAGTCCTGTGCAGTGGCACTGGGATTTTGTGCTTATCTATCACAGCATTAGATAAGAACAAAAGACCTCGATGGCATGGGGCCAGCTGGCTTTTAGCTCAGCGAGTAGAGACTCCTACACTAAACTCCAGAGGTCCTGGGTTCAAATCCACCCAGTGGCGGTTACATCTGCACAGCAGGGAGCAGAAGGCTCTTCCTCCAACTTCCCTTACTCCTTGGCTATGTCTACACTGGCGGCATCTTGCGCAAGGGTTCTTGTGCAAGAAAACATCCACACTGCCATGTGCACGCTGTGCTTTTGCGCAAGAGCATCCATGGCAGTGTGGTCTCTCCCTTGCGCAAGAAAGCTCCGATGGCCATTTTAGCCATAGGGCTTTCTTGTGCAAGAAATCCCTGCCGAGCGTCCACACTGCCCTCTTGCGCAAGAACTTTTCTTACACCTGTTAGAAAAGAGTGAAGCTCTTGCGCAAGGAGCCCTCTCTTACCAGGCCGTACTGTAAATCTTCTTGCGCAAGAGCCGGTGGGCAGTGTGGACGCTCTGCGGATCCTTGTGCAAGAATGGGCATACTTGCGCAAGAAGCCGCGAGTGTAGACGTAACCCTTGTGCAATGAGGAGTAGGGGTATGGGAGTCGGAGTAAGAAGTCCTGAAGCCTGATGCTATTTTGAAAATAACGGCTTGTCGCGGAGACGTGCTCTTCGTTATTTCAAAATGATGCTGATGGGGGACTCTTCGAGAACTAACGCAGCAGCTGCAGTGACGCAGCCTTTTCCAGGACCAGCAGCACCCGGCCATTCTGGCCTCTCATTGCGCCAAGCCCACAGGTTGTATTGCTAGCCCACCGGGCACGGGTTCAATCCACATTGGCCCTCCTGTCTCCTCCCATCGGGGCTCCACAATGCTCTGGTTTTGCTCAGCAGAGTAAGGGGACGAAGGGGAACAGCCTGCTCAGCATGGAGAGCAGCTGCAACTCTCAGGCCAGGATTCCCTAGCAGGGGAGAGAGATGTAGGCTCCAGCCCATCCCTAAATATATGGAGCTATACCTCCCTCCTAGAGCTGGAAGGGACTTTGAGAGATCATTGAGTCCAGTCCCCTGCCTTCACAGCAGCACCAAGTGCCGTCCCTGGCAAATTCTCCTCAAATGGCCCACTCAAGAATTGAGTTCACTACTGTGGGTTTAGCGGGCCAATGCTTAAACCCCTCCCCCACCACTTGCAAGACATAGGAAGAGGGGCAGAGGGCACCTTCCTCTGTAGCATGGGGCACAGATCACAGCTGGAGGACTCTCTGCATCTCGGGGTCTTCAAACTATTTGAAGGCTTCAATATCTGAGATCTAGGTGAGAGGATTATTCTAAGAGGGGCGGGGGAGATTCTGTGGCCTGCACTGTGCAGGGGGTCAGACTAGATGATCATAATGGTCCCTTCTGACCTTCAAGTCTATGAGTCTATGAGGTGAACAGGGGTGAAGGAAACTCATCCCACCCCGCTGCAAGATGGAGCAGGCAAGAACTGTGTCTCTGAAGGACCGATCCTTTCCGGAGCTCCTCCTGGGACACGGCTCCCTGATTAGGGCTGAGCGAGGTGGCTCAGTCTAGCCCCTAGCAAACAACGTGTCCAGTCGCACCTGAGCAAGTGCCGAGTGACTCCTGCACACACTCACGACCGTGCTGCGCTGTCGGCATGGTACCCGTGTGGCGGCCTCCCAAATGGCTGTCCTCGTACATTGGAGCAACCTTCCGTATTGCCCATGAAGCCCTGAGGCACACTGGGGCGATTTCACTGACAGGGACCACAGCTGAAGGCATCGCCGCAGAAGGCATCACCGGGTTCATCGGATACAGCCTGTGTATTTGGTTGTGCTAATCATCATCCAAAGTGTAACAGGGGCTGCCAATGCAGCTACATAAAAGTGACTTAACGGGGGAAGATCAGAATGGTTTATAAGACGATGATGATGATTATGAATAATAATAAATAATAATAATGAATTACAAAGCATTGTGCCAAGTTCACGAGAACCCAAGGAGTGAAACCCAACAGGAAATGAAGCCAACTGCCCCCCAGACTGAGTGCAAAAATAAGCCAAAGACGTGGGAAAAGTGATGATACATGGGAAGCTTCTGATCCTTTCTGGGTTTGTTCACAGCCCCAGACTTTTTTTTCCACCATCTACATCTTATGAGAAAGATTCTCTGGCTGACTCCTGCTCTCCCAAACTGCCAGCCCCGATTTCCTGTGACAACAACCGGCTTTTCACGTATCTGATCACCAACTCATCCCGACACCTGAAGAGACTCCTGGACAGAGCTACAGATCACACCAGACCAGACCAATCACATCCCACTGGACCAGACCAATCACATCCCACCGGACCAGGCCAATGCACCACCTACTTCCATCTGTTGAGCATGAATTTCCAAAGTGAACCCAACTCTGGACTTTTCCGGTGCCCAGCTTGCAAGGACTTTCCGAGGGGTCGAGCACCTACAACGTTACCTGAATTCAATGATTGCAGCAGGTGCCCTACCCCTCTGAAAAGCGGGGTGCAACATTCTTCATCCTGGATACCCCCAAAATAGAGGCACCCCACATCTGAGGCCACTTTTGCAAAATTATGGCTAGCACCCAAAGCTCCCTTGGCAAGTGCAACCTCCCTCTCTCGGGGAGAAAGATCACGCCTTCCTTTGCCAAGGAAGCTGAGACGAAGACAGATGCAGGATGAGAGCCAGGGGCTGAGACAGTGTCACATCATCGGTTGCCTCCTGAAACAGACACACACCTCCACCAAACCCGGACGCTAATGTCCTCCAGAGGGGAGGAGAACAAAGCAAAACCAGCTGGACTTACACATCGGCCTCGTCCCACAGGATGCAGGTCTGGTTGGTGGTTCCCTGGAAGGAAGAGAAGAAAGGGGTGGGAAGGGAAAGAAAAGGAGGTGAGAGCTGTGTGGCCAACAAGGCATCTATAGAATTGGCCAGTCCTAGACCTGTACCCCCTGCACGGCCTTCTTCCTCGGTGGCTTATGGGGCAGGGGAAAAGTGGACTGTACCACTCCCCAGTGACCACTCTAGCAATAATCAGCGTAGCAAGCAGGAAGTTTGGCTCAGTATCTGATGGATCCTCCCTTTCTTCTCAGAATCCCACCAGACTCCCCTTGGCTGGAGCCATGGGGCTGTCTGTCCTCGGCGGGCTGTCCTGCTCTTGCTGAGCTTTGCCACTAGAAGAAGGCCCCCGTGTCTGCTCCGTGTCTTGATCCTGGGAGAGAACCTCAGGGCCACGAGCCTCATCGGAGCCCCAGGGAAACGGAAGCCCAGAGAGGCTGCGACTTGCCTTGTCCCACTCCTGGGACAAGACTCCCTGTCTCCCGAGTCCTGGTACCATGCACCAGCGGTTACGTCCCCTGCCTTCTGGGTTTGAGAAGGGGGGTCCCTCTAGCGTGTTACCGAGGAGACAGGAAACCAATGCCACCCTGACTTCACTCTGCCAGTTCTGAGACCCGCCAGCCTGGGCCAGGCACATTAAAGGGTCTGGTGGTGATGTTCCCCCACCCCCCATCCCCGAGAGACCTGCTGGGCATCGGGCTATTGTAGACACACACAGCAAGAGCAAACCTCCTGATGCCTTACGTTGTACAGGTGGGAGAACTCCACCTCCAGGGGCGTGAGCAGGGAGCGGGGAGACGGCTTCACGGTCACAGAGATGACTTTGGAGTTCAGCACCGTGGCGTTCCTGGGGAAGAGACGCAAACCGGCCCTTTACGGGGGTGGTTCCACGGAGACCGTCCGCCTGGGCTGCCTGGAATAGGCCCTGGCTAGGCCAAGAGCTGTAGGCTAGGAATAGAATCAGCCCCTTCCGCGTAGAGCTGGCATTCACGGCATTTCCTGCCGACAGAGCCCGCCCTGCCACTGATCTGCACTGAACTCGCTCACGGAGCCGTCCTTTACCCACCCAACTCCCTGGCGCTGATGCGGGGGGCTGCCCTAGCCCCAGTGACCCCCAGATCTCACTGCACCTTGCGGAATCCACTCGCCTTCCCCCCGGCCTGGGTAGCGGCACCGCCCTCAGGTGACCGATGGAAAACTCAAGCGAGAAGGGGAGGCGAGGCAACAGCACTTTTTGGACCTGAGGGGAAGTCAGAGGCCAAAACTTTCAGTCTCAGGTGCTTCATGTTAGGTGGTTAGGTTGAGAGATTTGACGGGGGGGGGAAGGGCAGCTATTGCTTTCTGGAAATCATCTCCCTTTAAGGTGTCCCATGGCGGACACAAAGTCAGAGGTGAATGGTGGTCCTCCCGGCCTGAGAGCTGTGGTGTTCTCTCAGGGGAATACATCGCATCCATCTTCAGCCAGCCACGTTTGAAAACCCGGGCCCGAGAGACTCGCCCAAGGTGGCCCAGCTGGGAATAGAGCCTGGAACACTGCTGACCATTTCAGCACAGACCAGACAGGAACACTCCCTCCCTCTTCAGATGCTCGCCTATCCCGGGGATGTTTGAAATCATTTGCTTTTCATCAGGGGCTTATTTTATTTGTGCACCCATGGGAAGGCTTTGGGCAGCTACTTTCCAATCTAGAGGGATGGCTTTGGTACCAAGGACCTTCACTGGGAATGACCCTCCCCCCTCAGGGTAGATCTCATACACACACACACCCCTGCCCTGAGGCCACTATCTATGAACAGAGGGATCAAAGAAGAAATTGAAAAATAGCTAAAAAAAAAGTTTTTAATGCTATGTGTGATTAATCTGCGGAACTCACTTCTGCAGGAGAGAATCAAGGCAAATCAAAAGAGAGGGAAAATTACACAACTAAGACCAGCATTGGTGTTTATCTGTTAGGGTATGTCTACACTACCCTCCTAGTTCGAACTAGCGGGGTAATGTAGGCATACCCTTAGTGACTTCTTTTCTTTAAATTGAGTTCCTCTAGATTGAAACCAGTGTGACTGAAACAAATCAGATCCTTATTCCTCCTGCTCCCAGTACACAGACTGATCACAGTTTGGGGTCATGTCATTTTTCCTCTCTTTTGATTTGCCTTGATTCTCTCCTGCAGGAGTGAGTTCCACAGATTAATCACACATCGCCTTTTTTTTTAGCTATTTTTCAATTTCTTCTTTGATCCCTCAATTCATGGATAGTGGCCTCAGGGCAGGGGTGTATGAGAGCCACGCTGAGGAAGGAAGGTCAGTTCGGGTCCAGGAACACAGTTACGCCATTGTATGGCATTGCACTACTAATTACGTGATGGGGCTACTTTCATCTCCTTCTGACGTCCCTGTTGAACAGAGGAATGATGGACTTTTCCTCAGACCCAGTATTTCTTCCGGACGGTCACTAGAGTTTCAGGGCCGTGTCTTGCTAAAAAAAACTGTCCTTAATGAAGCAATGTTGTAAATCAGAGCCCAGAGGAGAATGCTCCGGCCTGCGGAAGCAGGCGAGCGAAGTTTATTCACTCATCCAGTGAAGGCTGAAATACCTTTGAATCATTTGCACCCAAGCTGTTTATTGGCCTTCCAATCTAAGTCCCGGTGCTGTAATGGACGGTATTACAGAACACAGCCCCTTGGAGGAATCACTCTCCTCCGGGCTCTCGTCTCGCCTACCGCCATTGCTGCTGCTGGATCGGTAGGTATTGAAATGCTTATCAGCGAGGAGAGAGGCCCTGGCGTTTCTGGCTCATGCTAATCAGTCCCAGTCAGATTTACAAGGTGCCTCAGGATGCGTAATTTACTGCCTTCGTACCCGCCCCAGAAAATAGAAGACGAGAGGGAAAGAAACGCCACTGCGGAGCACAAAAGCACCAGAGCCCCGCGGCGCGTTGCACGGGCCTGGAATGCTGCAGACATGTGCAGCCATGCGTGCCATGCCGCTTCGCTCCCCGAGCCTGTCTGGAGCCGGGCGGCTCTTGACTGGCACCGTGCGACAGGCAGCTCCTCTCCTGAGTGCGCAGCCCCAGATCTGTCAGAGCCCCGGCGACCCGCGGCAGGGAGGGAGAGCGGGGGTGACTGGGAAGAAAATCTGTTGCAGGGAGGATGTCGGAGGGATGCGATGCCACAGTTCTGGTCTTGTATCATGGGCCCCCATCCTGTCCAGGACTAAGTGCTCTTAGCTCTTGCTGAAATCCAAGGGGGGCAGGAAGGGGCATTTAGCGCCTCCCTCTTTGCAGGGAATGGAAGACACGCCGGGGAGGAGGGGAAGTATTAACTTTGGCCTCCCCCGCAGCTGTTCTGTGTGGCACAGCACGGGTTGGAGAATCGGACCCTTTCCCCTTCCTTTGATGTGTGGCTTTCCACCTGCAATGGGTGCTGAGTGGTACCCAGCGCTGGCCCCAGGGACAGGGTCTGTGTCCCGAAGGCACTGTGTTCTCACTCCCTCCTGTGTCTGTGGAAGGAGATCATGGCTCTCCATCTCTCCTCCAGACAGATGTCCAGGGACCGTGGCGGCCCAGTGCCAGAGGAGATGGGTTCTCGCCTCACTCTTTGCAGGAGCATAACATCTCAGGACGTAGCTGTTACCCAGCTCTGCAGAGAGCAGAAGGCACTTCACTGGGGCAGCTGGCCGCGTGATGTGAGATGCAGCACGAAAAAAGGGAATGAATCCCTGATCTGCCTGAGAGCGATCAGTCTGTGCCTTGGCGCACGAGCTTGGGCAGAGCCGCCTTTGTATTAGCAGCCCAAAAATCATCTCCGCAGAACCAAATCCTCCCCCTCTTTACCCCCCGGCTGCTCAGGTCCTGCCTGGCCCTTGAGTTTCCAGTCGAGGAGCCGGGTGTCAGGCCGTCCGAGGGAGGAGGCCCCCTGGAAGGGAAAGGGTGTAAAACTATCCCGTCCTTACCTCTGGAGCGAGAGGATGCTCCCCAGGTTCCGGTACAACACGGTGCCCACCACGAAGACGGAGGAGTCGTCGGTCTCTGCAAGGTGGCGAAGAGGAGAGAGAGAGACAACAGCACTATGAGGAGGAGGATGGCGAAAGCCCCGTCAGCGCCACGGGGCTGCTGCAGGCAGAGGGCCAGAGGGTGGTTTATGGGGGGCCCGTCCTGCAGGTGTTAGACTTTGATGGCAGCGCATTCAGTGGGGCAGAAGGAAGGAATGGACACACTCTGTGGTGGGGGGTGTTTGTAAGGAGGCAGCTGCACACAGCCAGGGCCTGACACGTCTCCTCGGCTCTTTACCTCCCAGCAGGCTGAAATCTGCTCCCTGCGCTGAGGTAGGGTTGCCAGATGGTTGAAACAAAAATACCGAACCACCCCCCCCCCCAAAAAAAAACGGGAAAAAATTCTTTTGAAGGGAAAAAAGGGGGGGACCAAAGTTCTTGAGCAGAAAAAAAAACAACCAAGGACTCCAAGTAAGCCAAAAACAATTAAAATAAAACAGCATTGCTTCCCCTAGGTCTTTGGGCCGGCAGCCATTTTGTGCCGGCAGCCTTGGGGAACCAGGTAAGCATGGGGGCTGGGGGCGGGGAGCTGGGGGTGTTGGGAGCAGGGCGGGGGAGGCCGGGCGCTGAATGTTTGTAGGGTTGCCAGGTGCCCGGCATTTTCGCCTCCTGGCCGCGGAAAAATTCAGAAAGTAACGGACATCTCAGGTGTTCGGTATTCTCTGAATTTTTTACCGGACAGGAGGCAAAAATACCGGACTGTCCGGGCGAATACTGGTCACCTGGCAACCCTAGCTGAGGGCCTTGTAAGGCCGAGGTACCATTTATTGGTGGGGAGCCAACTCTGGGGCAGGCTGGATTTCTCGCTACCCCCCACCCGGAAGCTGCAGCGCCTCCTCGCACCGCATAGGGGTTCCCTAAGGACTAGTCCGTGCCCAGGCCTTGAGCTTCAACTTGACTGAGCCGGGCTGAAGGTTTCCTGTTCCCAATTCCAGCTAATCCCTCTGACAAGGCCAGGGCAGGAGGCACATCGTAGGGTTGCCAGGTGTCCGGTATCCCACCGGACAGTCCGGTATCTGAGCCCTCTGCCCGGTAATATATCAGACAATACGGGACATGTGCAGTGTCCGGTTTTCTCTGATTTTTCCGGCTGGGCTCCGGACGGAAGCCTGACGTGGGCAGCCCCACTTCTGCACAATCACAGGCTCCCAGCGGCTCGACCAAAAAATACCGGGTGTCTGGTATTTCTTGGGAGACCATCTGCCAACCCTACGCACATGTGGGGAGTCTAATCTAAGCAGCAGGGGCGGGGGGAAGGCAGCCACCGAGGAGGAAGCCCGGCTGCCCGCAGATCAGTGCCGAAGCCGCGCCGCCAAGGTGCCGTCAGAGCGATGCTCGCGGCTGAGTGTGAGAGATTTTCCGCCACGGGCTGCCAAGCCCCCGTCTGATCCAGGCCCCTTCCCTCACCCGCCCCCCGCACACCAACGCCGCACGGCTGGGGCCCAGCTCCGCCAGGCTGGCACGATGGACCCTAATGCTATGTGACGCCGCACAGTCGGGGCGCACAGCCTGAGAGGCCGCAGGCCCTTCCGTGCTGATCCCAGATGAGCCGCCGACTCATTTGTGCGACCTCTGGGCCAGTCACTTGACCGACCCTCCCCCCGTCTCCCTCGCACAACCCAGCTGTGGAAAGCAACAGCCCCCTGAAAACCAGCTGGTGCCTCTGAGCAGCGCCGTCATGGGCACACACACACGTCCTGGGCCCCTGTTCTGGTCCTGCAGACCCGCACACACACAAGGGCTCTCTCTTCCCCTTTGTGCTTGGGCCTGCGGCAGGCAACTCCCCCAGCGGGCTTGTGTGTGAACAGAAAACGAACTGCAGGGACCTGATTCTCATGTGCACTCCGTGGGAAAGCCAAGGGGACGGAGTGTCAATGAGACGGGTCTGAAATCTGCATCCAGACTTTAGCAACGGAAGTGCCCCGTCTGGGTTACCCCGACAGGTTGTTTTTCAGTAGCCCAGGCGCTAGAAGCTGGTCCCTACAGCATTGGAGCTGTCAAGATTTTCGCAGGACCCGTTTTAAAGGGCCCGTTTTATGGTTGGATCCTCAGTGGGAGCAAAGCAGCATAGCTCCAGTGAAGCCCACGGCTCATTCACACGCCCTGAAGACGGGGCCTTTATTTTATAGCAAGCTGCAAAGTTGTTATTCTAGCAATGAAGGTGGCACACTAGTATTCTCCCTGTTGGAGGCATTTGCAACGATGAGACGGGTGTTAAAAAGAGTTAAACGCCTCTCCCAATAAATAATATATTGACAAGGAAACAGCCTTTTGCTAATATGATGATACAAGATAAGGCCCAGGAAATGAAGCTCCGGATGGAACGGAAGAGAATAATAATGTAAGTCCTAATTTGTGAATTTAACCATTTATTGCCCTTGTAAAGGATGGCATTCTGTTTAGAAGGCAGTGATCTATGACTAGTTTGTGCTGCAGTCCTGGATTAAGTCAGGTCTCTGCTACTGACTCCCTACATGTCCTTGGGGCAGTCACTTAACTGCTCTGCCGTGTTCCTTGTCCGCAGAATGGTGGCTCTAATGCTCATCTACCCAATGGAATAGGTTCTGCAACTCGATGAAAGGCTGTGCTTGGAGATCTTTGGGGGAAAGGTGCACAGGGAAGCCGAGGGATCATGACAACCACTCGGCCAGTCTCCTGCCTTTGTCTCCACAGCTTGATGGGGAAAGAGCAACCGGCCTGCTCTCACTGCAGAAGCCAACCAGTGCTGGGCACAGCTACAGAGAACGGGACCCGATAGTGGCTAGACCCCTTTGCAGGGGTAGTTTAGGCATCACTTTCTGAAATACTAGTCTCATGATACAGGCCCCAACCCTGCAAAGAGCAGAGCCCCTCCCCTGCGAAGACGAACTCTGTGGACTCACTGGGAACTGAGGCTTCCACACCCAGTACCCCAAAGACCTGCTGCAGCTAACGGATGCCCCACAGGGTAGCTACAGAATCAACGCCTGGCTGATCTCTCTACGATCCGGGCCGTGAGCTCTGCAGTTTTCCTTTGAGATTCAGAAGGCCTTGGCTGGTGCTCAAGAGCAGGCTGGATTTTCCTGGCTCGCTGCCCCTCTCCCTCCCCATGCTGCGGTTCTGGCCTGATAATAGACTGCCACGGAGCAAATGACCCCTGAGTGATTCATGCCCCCTCTCTCCTGCCACTGATGTGTGGTTACAGAGGATTACACCCAGGAAGCACACACATCATTCCAGCTCCACGGCCACTGCCTGCCTGGCAGCCAAGCACTACCTGCCCGGCGGCTGGAGCCAGGCAAGCTAATAACCCGGAACATTTCATATCCACTGCATGATGAATGGCCGCCTTTCCTTCTCTCCCTGCCCCCCGCAACTCCTCCACTCGGCACTAGGAGCCTATTTGCTTGAAACAGACCCGTCCTTACACTGGTAACAGCGCTCCCGGTGCCGCGACGTCCGCCCCCGGTGCAGAGTCTTTCTCTGCACTGGCTCATGGCACTGAACAGGAGCCGTGACCCGGACTGGAAACAACGCACAATCCCCACGGAGAGGAAAGCTTGTTCGGAAGGGCTGGATGGGACCGGGGCAGAGAGAGGGGAATGTCCTGTCCAGCTGATGGCTCGCCTCTCACCCAGCACATCAGGGTCCTCCCAGACGCATGGAGCGAGCGGGTTCGTAATGTCAGCAACGTACTGCGGCTGCCCTCAGGTGCCCAGCTGCTCTGAGGTTTGGTGCTGCCTCCGGCGGCCTCCTAAACAAGGAGCTGCTATGTCTAGGGATGGATCCGGGCCCGAACTAATCTCCTGGACTTTCTAGGGAGCTCAGAGCTGGATCTAAACCAGGCCCTATCGTTCAGGCTCAGCCCCATGTTTGGGATGGGACCTCTCGGTAGGGTTGCCATTTTCACCCAGACAGTCTGTTATTTCTGGCCCCTGTCAGGTTAAAAAACCCCAGAAAATACTGGACATGTCTGGTGTTTTCTGTTTCTCTGGGATGGAATGCTGGCAGGACATTATTTCCCTGCAGCGTCTTGCGAGGGCTGGGGGAGCAAGGAGCGTGGGGATATTTTTTCTCAACCAATTTTTTTTCCTGCCATGTTTGGGATTTTTTGTGAAAGTATCTGGCAACCCTACCTCAGGCAGCTCCCTCTAGCTGGGGGCAGAGCTTGCAGCCAGAGTGCAAAGGAGGCCGGAGTTCAGCGATGCCGCAGCAGCACTGCCTTACCTGCTAGCCCTGTCGAGAGGATGCTCTTGGAGATGGTGACCTTGTCCTCGGAGGTCCTGGCCCAGTCCACCATGCCCCTCCAGCCTTTCATGGGGAAGCTGATGTCGGTGGCGGCGTTGGCGGGGAGTTTGTGAATGCTGAGGACTTGAGGGAAAACAGAAGCAAGAAGTAAAGCAAAGCCCATGTGGGCAGCTCAACATTCGCGCTCCCACCACTGAGAAACCTGCGGGTACAATAGCAGGACAAGAGCTTTGGATGAGTCAGTGTGTGCTCACTTGGACATTGGTGTGAATACACAGTAACTCCATGGTCTTCCCTGACATTGGTGTAAATCCAGAGTCACTCTGCTGACTTCATTTACACCATCATGACTCCAGAGTGAGTCCAATGTCTTCATTTACCCCCGAGTGACTCCGGAGTGACTCCAAAGACTTTATTTACACCAGAGTTACTCCAATGACTTCATTTACACCAGCGTGTCTCCAGAGTGACTCCAATGTCTTCATTTATCCCAGAGTGACTCTGGAGTGACTCCAATGATTGTATTTACACCAGAGTGTCTCCAATGTCTTCATTTACACCAGCACAACTCCAGAGTGACTCCAATGTCTTCACTGACCCCAGAGTGACTCTGGAGTGACTCCAATGATTGTATTTACACCAGAGTGTCTCCAATGTCTTCATTTACACCAGCACAACTCCAGAGTGACTCCAATGTCTTCACTGACCCCAGAGTGACTCTGGAGTGACTCCAATGATTGTATTTACACCAGAGTGTCTCCAATGTCTTCATTTACACCAGCACAACTCCAGAGTGACTCCAATGTCTTCACTGACCCCAGAGTGACTCTGGAGTGACTCCAATGATTGTATTTACACCAGAGTGTCTCCAATGTCTTCATTTACACCAGCACAACTCCAGAGTGACTCCAATGTCTTCACTGACCCCAGAGTGACTCTGGAGTGACTCCAATGATTGTATTTACACCAGAGTGTCTCCAATGTCTTCATTTACACCAGCACAACTCCAGAGTGACTCCAATGTCTTCACTGACCCCAGAGTGACTCTGGAGTGACTCCAATGATTGTATTTACACCAGAGTGTCTCCAATGTCTTCATTTACACCAGCACAACTCCAGAGTGACTCCAATGTCTTCATTTACCCCAGAGTGACTCCGGAGTGACTCCAATGTCTTCATTTACACCAGAGTGACTCCAGAGTGACTCCAATGACTTCATTTACCCCAGAGTGACTCCAATGACTTCATTCACACTGGTGCAACTCTGAGTAGAAATTCAGTCCTTGACCATTCAGGGCCAAGAAACACCCACAATTCTGGACTTTCTGCTCTGAGAAAATGCTGCTGTCCGTGTGGTATATATGGTGTAAAGGGGAGCTGAGACCAGACAGATGGCATTCCTTTAGCCTGGAGAGAGGTCAAGGCTATGCCCTGTCTCAGAGAAAGATCCTCCTTGCCCGCTTGGTTAAGGGATCCCCTTGGGACAAACCCCGCTTTCGCTGGCGAGATGTTGCCTGTAAGAACAAGGAGGGCTCTAGGAAATGTCTCTCCCCGCCTCCCATGAGCTGAGGCAACTAGGGCTTGAGAAGGGAGGAGGTGTGAGCATATGGGGCTTTGCGATCTTGGTGTCCAAGAGTGTGGGTGAAAGCAGAGGAAGGCTGGAAGCCTCTGAATTAGCCTGATGCTGTCCAGGAGAGTTAGGATCCCTGGCACGGCAGGAGGTACTTGCTCAGCTAACGTCAGTCCATAAAGCAAGGTGATGCCACCTCTCCCACAGCCTCATCCACCCTCAGGACACTAGGAAATCAATTCAGAATAACCTATTTCGAAATAATAACTCCTGAAATAACAATATCAAAGTAGCGTGTCCACGGCATGGAGAAGTCTGGGATTGAGTCCGAGGCAGGCTCTGTTAATATGGACACGCTCCCTCGACTTAGAGGGCTTAGTTAGTTTGAATTACAGTGGGGAGTAGTTACTTCAAAATAGCGGCACTGAAGCGTCCACACTGCCGTTATTTCGAAATAACTATTTTGGAAATAGTGTTATTCCTTGTGGAAAGCCGGAGTTATTATTTCAAAATAACGGATTGGGTAGTGTGGACGCTCCACTCGTTATTTCGAAATAACCCCCTGGTGTAGGCCAGGGCTAAGAGTAAGTGTGGAGCCTGACCCCAGGACCTGGGCGGGGTCCGTTCCCGTGTCTCTCACATGAGCAGAAGTCGCTGCATGGCTCCCGCTGCTCCCTCTCTGACCCTCCCCGGGCTCCCAGCCAGCCCATAAAACCTGCAGGGAGTAAGCGCATGGTTTGAATCCGCCCACAGAGCAGGGGAGGGGAGGGGAATCCGAACCAACTCACCCAGATTGTCCGTCACTTGGTAAGAGTCCCGGAAATCTTTCATGCGAAATCCAATGACATCAATGAAATCCTCCACCAGCCTGAACAGCTCCTTGGCATTCGGCCCCATCTGCAAACCCAAGGAGGAGAGGTCAAATATTTAGCAGCAGGGAGCGCAAAGGAGCTTACGCTGGAGCTCTCAGAGGGCACGGGTTCAAGCCAGGCTTAGCGCACACAGCGCCAGAAGCATTCTTGCTCTGGAATGCAGCGGAGCAGCAAACCGCCAGCGGGGCAGAGAAGTGATCCAAGGAGATAGAAACACGGACAGGAAAAGACAATAGGAGAATCCGTTTGGGAAAACAGCTGGTGGATATGGAGGAGCAACAGGAGGGCAAAATTTGGGCGTGCGGATGGCGATGCCCAGAGTTCCCTGTAAGCTGGGCACTTGGGCGCCCACCCAGGAGCGATTCAAATGCTGCCCAGCTGATTAGCAGAGCGCCAACAGCATGTGTTTCTACTGGTGGTGCACATCCGTATATGTCTCGGTGCACATAACAAAATGTATCCCACTCGCGGATGGAAAAAGTTAGAGGGAACATTGGTGATGACCAACTGGCCTACCCTCCTTACTCCACGTGACTTATCCCGCTGATCAGTCTGGCCCAGGAAAACCCCGGAACATATTTATAGGTTTCCAGGCCCTGTACTAAAAGTATGTGTCAGCCAATGAGATATGCCATTTATAGCAGGTGATATAAATCGGCGCTGCTCCATTTAAGTGTTCTGGACAATCTGGCCTGGTTTGTCCACCAGCAAGACCAATGGGATTTGGAGCCACCATGTGGCAGGTAAAGAGGTACTAGCCATTCTCAAGGCAAGTTCTAGAGTACCAGCCCCCAGGGGCAAACCCGAGAACTTTACTCATTCCAAACTCCTCGAGGACTCACGGGGATCTGGCTTCTGGAATATTGTGCTCGACTCCAGGAGCCAACGGGACTGGAAATACACTGAGCAAACAGAGGGCATCCAGAGAATCTTTGCCCACACCGCCGTTCCTGGACTGAGTGCCGCTAGGCCAGTCCCGACCCACCAAGCTACGCAAAGGGAACATTGTCACAATGTTGTGAAACAGGAGGCAACACCGCTCCTGGAGAATGGGTGTTCCAAAAGATGGGGGGGGAAGAGGCTGATTCCGTCAATCTGGGAACCCCAAGAGGATGTGTAAGTCCCAGCTGAGAAGCAGACATCCGAAATTCGGCAGGCAGCTTTGAGTGCCTGAATATTTGGATGTCCCATTGTAGGGCCACCATGGAGGGGTTGTTCGGGCTCTTTCCGATGTACGGTTCTCTGTTGAGAGGATTCGTCCTGAGAAGTATTGGTCTCTGAAAGGCCTGGTTGTATTTAGTGACACCAGACATGACCCTGGGACAATGGATCTAAGCGTCAGGAGCTAAACGTAACTCTCTAAGCACTCCTAAGTTGAAAATCAAGCCCAACCATGCCTAGGAGAATAGACAGAAATAAGAACTGGTTTGGTTTGGTTTGTTGATAGACCCTGTCGCAATTTTGCCTGGTACATGGATATCGACGTAATTGCATCTTAGATCTGTCGTAAGTTGATTGTCCAGACATCTAAGTGATCAAACAAGTAGCTATTCCCAGCCAAACTATACATCTGCATAGGAAGAGGATATTATTAAACGTTTGAGCTGTCACTGACCATGGAGGGACACCTGGGCCAGGAATGAGATACTAAGGTGTAGGCTACCAAAAAAGAGTTGTTGGGCTTGTTCAGCTGGGCTTTTCAAATCGGGAGATGGGAGCTAATGCCCAGTAAAAGAGGAATCTGTGTATATGGTAGGGGGGATAACATATATCTGCCCCTGTGTGGATTGAGAGCAGATCCAGTCTATGTGGCCCTCTAGCGACTGGGGTATTTCAGAGAAGCGATGCCCTGTGATTCTGCTTTTGGTGCTTATGGAGAGCAGACTCTGGTTTTAGATCTCAGTTTTAGGCCAAGGTCCTATGGCATCCAAGTCCCCTAGGCAATACAGGCCATGTCAGCCATGACCTTCATGCTGTCTATAACAGTGGTGGTGATGAAAATTTGCAGCAAGGGAGGTTGAGGTTGGACATTAGGAAAAAGTTCCTACCTGTCAGGGGGGTGAAACACTGGAATCAATTGTCTAGGGGGGTTGTGGAATCTCCATCTCTGGAGATATTTCAGAGCAGGTTAGACAGACACCAGACAGGGATGGTCTAGACAGTGCGTGGTCCTGCCGTGAGGGCAGGGGACTGGACTCGATGGCCTCTCGAGGTCCCTTCCGGTCCCAGTGTTCTGTGATTCAGTGATGCTGAGATACAGGAGGACATCAAAGTAGCACAGAGCAGAACATCCGCCGCAGGAATGAGCACCAGGAGGAATGGGAGTGACTACGTACACTCTGCACCATGTGGCAGGAGCAGGCTGTAGCACCTGCCCATGCGTTTCTATGTCCCGTTGCAAGGAAAGGGCAACACATCAGATTAGAGTCCCTGGCTCAAGCCCTGAACGCATTGTCAAGCTGCCTGGCCAGATCTGATGGTCATGGGATAGGACAACAGCAACGGTGGCTGCTGAGCCATCGTTCAGGGTACACATGTTTCGGGTGGGGTCAGAGGCCCGGGGACCAGCAAGCCGGGGTACCTCACAGGGACGCAGCTAGGAGAAAGCCACTAGGAACTCACTGCAGCTGGAGAAAACTGCCACTATTTTTATGACGATCAATGGGGTTTCTGCGTTGTCATGACGACTCAGCAGAGTCCGCGCTACAGTGACTGTTCTGAAATGCGGCTGTAGACATGGATTTGCTACATTCGGTCTGTCACCTCCTCGGGAACCAGCCTGGGTTTACACCTGTGCTGGGGAAACACCCGCTTTCGAGGGGAAACGGGAGTTCAGTGTCGAGGTGCGGCCTGTTCTTGGTCTAACCCCTTTTACCTAGGAAACGCACCCATTCCCCATCTGAGGGCCTGCTTCCCCACAGAGCCTGCCAACAAGGGTGCTAATCGGGGGCATTGCCCCCACACCATTCCTGACCTGGCCCACCTTTGAACCTGTGATCTCTTCCAGGGGATCCTCTTCCTCCAGCCAATCCCTTCTAAGCTCATACATTCATAGACTCACAGACTTTAAAGTCAGAAGGGACCATTATGATCATCTGACTCCCTGCACAGCGCAGGCCACAGAATCTCACCCACCCCTCTTAGAATAATCCTCTCACCTATGTCTCAGATATTGAAGTCCTCAAATGATGGTTCAAAGACCCCAAGATGCAGAGAATCCTCCCGCAAGTGACCCGTACCGCATGCTACAGAGGAAGGCGAAAACCCTCCAGGGCCTCACCCAAGCTCAGTCAGTATCCAATGCCGGCCATGCACCAATAGCACAAGTGTTTGCTGCAACCTAGGAACAATTTATTTGCATTTCACTGTATTGTGCCCCTTTCTGCAACAGTCTTCACTCCCCTCCTTGACCGAGGGGCTCACAGATGAACCCGGCAGCTCCTTAGCTGCCAGAGAAGTACCGTGGCCCTTCTGAGGAAAACTGGTCTTGAAGGTGTCCCGTTTGTGCCAGGCAATCGCCTCTCACTCCTTTGCTGTGGGCTGCCCCTTCTGAGGGGGTCCACAGGACAAAATGGCGGCTAAAAGACCCATGCCCTCATGATGCCCTGAGGGGAATGGATTCCACTTGATGGACACCTGCCAGAGCCTAGCGACAGACCTGGCTGTGGGGATGTTGAGACCCGAGACGCAGGATTGTGTGCTGAGCTGCAGGAAGGTGGAAGGGGCAGGGGAGCAGCTGGAACAGACGGGTGCCCTTCAGTCAGAGTCATTTCTGAACATGCCCTGCCTTCCAGGCAGACACATTTCACTCAGATGCGGCTCTCTGGGGCTGCAGAGAAATCAGCCCTGGTGAGCAGCGAGCGGGTCCAGGGAGAAAGGCATCTTTCAGTCCAGGTTAGGGATCGTGGGGAAGTCACCTACCCAGCCGGGCAGGAAGTGCAATCAAACAGAGGAGACGGGGTCAGGATTTGGGAAGACGTAGACCGGACAAGTAGCCGTGCCTGAGAGGATGTGCTTTATCTGCTGAATTACCAAGCATGCGCCCAAACGGACAGCATCCCTGGGAAGTCACAAGGCATCCTTGTGTGGAAAGGGCAGCTACAATATTAATGAACCGTTGCTCAGCTCAGATGGCAGGGCACAGTCTGGGCTCTTTCCAGTCCCACCTGTCCTGCAGGACGGGTTCATCTTCTCATACCGGACTCTGTCTTAGGAACCTTAAAAGGCCAAGACTGCACTTGGCTCTGAAGTCGAGCAGGGTCTGTCAACACCGATTTCTGTCAGCAGGGGTAATTCAGCCTACTGCAGTGGCTGGATCAGTTCTATCTCTTGTGGGTGAAACGGAGGCCCATTGAGTACAACACCTGTTAGACACATGGGCTGTGTCGAGACTGGCTAGTTTTTCCGGAAAATCAGCTGCTTTTCCGGAAAAACTTGCCAGCTGTCTACACTGGCCGCTTGAATTTCCGCAAAAGCACTGACGATCTCATGTAACATTTGTCTAGACTGGCAAGTTTTTCCGGAAAAACTTGCCAGCTGTCTACACTGGCCGCTTGAATTTCCGCAAAAGCACTGACGATCTCATGTAACATTGTCAGTGCTTTTGCAGAAATACTGTGCTGTTCCCATTCGGGCAAAAGTCCTTTTGCACAAAAGTTTTGCGCAAAAGGGCCAGTGTAGACAGCTCAGCTTTGTTTTCCGCAAAAAAGCCCCGATCGCGAAAATGGCAATGGGGGCTTTTTTGCTGAAAAGCGTCCGTGCCAATCTAGACGCTCTGTTCCGAAAATGCTTTTAACGGAAAACTTTAAGAGTTCCCAAACCAAGGAGAAATGCCCCAAGCCCCTCCCCACCGGCACCACATGCTGAGAGCCAGCCTGATTTGGGAGGTAGGTTTAAGCAGCAGGTCCATACCATCTGAGCTTCCTCCCACTTGTCCCGGTTTTCCTCTGACAGCAAGTTGCTGATGATCTGGACGAAGTTCTAGAGGGGCGAGACACAAAAAGGAAAAGGAAGTTGTGATCAGAAGAACACCCGGGAGTGCCCGACCACCCGCGAGAGAGCAGAGAGTCGTGTGAGCGAAAAGAGGATTTGCTCTGACCTCCCCAGAGGATCCCAAGGCCCTGAACAAACCAAAGCCCTGCTCCCAATAAAATAAATCACTAAACTCCAAGTGCCTCCCATTGGAAGAAGAGTCATCATCTTGCTCACCATTGAATGCAATGGGGCGGCCAGTGAGCATTCCCCAAAACAGAAACCAAAGGAGGGCGGGTGTCGGCAGATATAGGGCAAAATGCCAAAGGGGTTTGAATTAGGAGAGGCCTGGCAAGCAGCAGGATTGGAGAATCTGCACAGAGCTCGCCCACAGGATACCCGGCTCCCTCCGGCTGGCTCTCTCAACTCCGCCGCAGGCCTACATTTTGGAGATCTCAAGATCTAGGCGTAGTGCGAGTCAGAGTTTGGCTCGGCCTACTGCACAGCCAGCAAATGCTTCCCACACCTCAGTCCCTGTTCAGAATTCCTGGCCAGGTTCAGAATTTAGGGTTGTTCTGTCTATCTGGGAAACCTTACCAGGGGGTCTAGTGGATGCTCCATCATGTGTAGTCTTTAAATCAAAGCTGGATGTTCTTTTAAAGGATCTGTTCTAGCTCACAGAGGAGTGATGGGCGTGGTGCTGCAAGTATTGGTCTGGCTTGTGTTGTGCCAGACTACTTGACTGTAATTGAAAATCCATCCATCCATTCATAGAACACTAGAACTGGAAGGGACCTTCAGAGGTCATCAGGCCCAGTCCCCTGACCTCATAGCAGGACCAAGCACAGTCTAGATCATCCCTGATAGATGTCTGTCCAACCTGCTCTTAAATATCTCCAGCGATGGAGATTCCACAACCTTCCTGGGGGTACGTCTACACTACAGCGCTAGTTCGAACTAACTTAGTTCGAATTAGTTAATTCGAACTAAGCTAGTTCGAACTAACGCATCTAGAACTAAAAACTAGTTCGAACTAGCGTTTTGCTAGTTCGAACTAGTAAGTCCACATTGAGTGGACTCTGAACAGGGCTTAAGGATGGCCGGAAGCAGTGCCGGCAGGGCATAAAAGGAGGACTTAGAGCATGGAGATACTGTCTCAGGCTAGCCGAGGGCTGCGCTTAAAGGGTCCCGACCCCCACCCCGGACACACAGTTCTAAGGGGTGCCCCGCTTGCAAAGAAGTTCTGGCTTGGAGTGCCCTGAGTGCCCACACTGGGCACATCACACCACTCGGCCATCAGCCCGGCTGCACTTGCCGCAGGCTGCCATCTGGGGAGAGGGAGTAATTGGGGGGCTGCAGGAGAGCTTCCACCCCCAGAAGCCCGCAGAGCCAGCCCAGTCCTCCCCATCGGGGGCTCGTACCCCATTCCTCCCTCACCTCCTTCCACTTACCCTTCCCTAGCCCCCCTTCTTATTGATGTACAAAATAAAGATAACGTTTCTTCCAACATTGACTCTGTCTTTATTGAAAAAAACTGGGGGAGACTGGGAAAAGGAGGTGGGAGAGGGGAAGAGAAAGGCTGGGAGAGGGGAGGGCAACTAACATGATCAGGGGTTGGGAACAGGTCCCAGATGAAGAGAGGCTACAGAGACTGGGACTGTTCAGCTTAGAAAAGAGGAGACGGAGGGGGGACAGGATAGAGGTCTCTAAAAGCAGGGGTTGGGTGGAGAGGGTGCATTCAGAAAAGTTCTTCCTGAGTTCCCATAAAGAAGGACTAGAGGACACCAAAGGAAAGGAATGGGTAGCAGGCTTGAAACTAGTAAGAGAAAGTTGTTCTTGACAAAGCAAATAGTTAACCTGTGGAACTCCTTGCTGCAGGAGGCTGTGAAGGCTACAACTAGAACAGAGTTTAAAGGGAAGTGAGATCAAGTCATGGAGGTTGGGTCCATGGAGTCCTATTAGCCAGAGGGTAGGAGTGGTGTCCCTGCCCAAAGTTTGTGGAAGGCTGGAGAGGGATGGCACGAGACAAATGGCTTGATCACTGTCTTCGGTCCATCCCCTCCAGGGTCCCTAGGGTTGGCCGCTGTTGGCAGACAGGCTACTGGGCTAGATGGACCTTTGGTCTGACCCAGTACGGCCATTGTAAGCTCAGGGCTCAGGGTCGGGGGTCTCAGTGGACCCCCTTGATTTTCATGCACACCTGGTCCTGGGTGGCCAGGCTGGCAGCTCTCCTGCCCTAGACGGCCACTTTCCTGTGCCTAGTGCAGAGATCGTGGACAACTTACGTTATTCCGAAATAACACTGCTGTGTAGACATAGCCATGTGGTCTTCTTAAATTTTCAAAAGTAAATGTCTAAATATATCTCTCTGGGTATGTCTACACTACAAAGTTAGTTCGAACTAACGTAACTTTAATAGGTGCTACACTAGCGCTCCGCTAGTTCGAATTTGAATCGAACTAGCGGAGCGCTTAGTTCGAACTAGGTAAACCTCATTTTACGAGGACTAACGCCTAGTTCGAACTAGCTAGTTCGAACTAGGCGTTAGTCCTCGTAAAATGAGGTTTACCTAGTTCGAACTAAGCGCTCCGCTAGTTCGATTCAAATTCGAACTAGCGGAGCGCTAGTGTAGCACCTATTAAAGTTAGTTCGAACTAACGTCCGTTAGTTCGAACTAACTTTGTAGTGTAGACATACCCTGGGCAATTTATTCCAGTGTTTTACCACCCTGACAGGTAGGAAGTTTTTCCTAATGTCCAACCTCAACTTCCCTTGCTGCAATTTAAGTAATTTGCTTCTTCTCCTATCCTCAGAGGTCCACAAGAACAGTTTTTCCTCTCCTCTTTATAATACCCTTGTAGGTACTTGAAAACTGCTCTCATGTCTCCTCTCCATCTTCTCGTTTCTGAACTAAGCAAGCCCAGTTCTTTCAGTCTTCCCTCCTAGATCATGTTCTCTAGACCTTTCATCATTCTTGTTGCTCTTCTCTGGACCTTCTCCAATTTCTCCACATCTTTCTTGAAATGTGATGACCAGAACTGAACACAATACTCCAGCTGAGGCCGAATCAGTACAGAGTAGAGCAGAAGAATGACTTTTCGTGTCTTGCTCACAACACTCCATCCATCAATCCATTTCCCTTGCCCCCATCACCAATATATCTCTCCATCTTTCGTGGATTCTCAACACCCTGGGATATACTGCCAAATTATCCCCCTTGTACAAAAGGGGAGATGGAGGCACAGGGCAGATTAAGTGACTTGCCCAAGATCACACAGGCAAGCTGAACCAGGAACGGCACCAAGGTTTCTCCCGCCCCCGTTCAGTGCTCTCTCCCTAGCTCTCGGTTGGCTCCATCTCAAACAAACGGAGCGTGCTGAAGGTCAAGCCGCTCCTGTCTCACCCCTATGCTCGCAAAAGTCTCAGCAGGTGAGGCTTGACCACTCTGAGCTAATGCACTTTCTCTGTACTCTCTGCTGGGGGCTAAGTGCACATGACCAAACCTGCACCATGCTTCAAAGAGCGGAGACGTTTCCCCTGCTGAGTAATGCACAGGAAATGCAGGCGTCCAGGAGAGACCCCATCTCCTCCCATCCACGGCTAGCACCAGGAGAGCAATCAGCCTCTGTAGCCAGCGAGCACAGGGGCTGCCGGACTAGCTCAGCCCAGTCACCATGCCTTATGGAACCACAAAACCACTGACTGTGGAGGAAAGCTGCTGGGGACCCCCTCCCCTTATTACAGGAGACGAGAGAAAGGGCTGTCAGAGGAAGAGGGGCTAGACAGGCACAGTCCTGCCGCGTACGTGTGTATGAGAGATGAGAGGGTAGGGGGTGGAGAGTTCAAAGCCATTGATTTCCCTCTCCATTTTCACCACCCTTGCTGATGCCTCGGGGAAGCAGCGCCCAGAGGGCAAGCTTCATGTTTCAGTTGTGGGCTGATGACTTTCCCAAGGACACGTCTGTAGCCAGTTCACAGGCAACAGCTGAAAGTAAAGCCCAAGGCAAGGAGCCGTCCACCTTCTCCCACATCAATATCTAGACACCTAATACCCAAGGATCAACTCCCCTCTGTGCCATTAGGCTCCGATTCCTTCCAAGACGGCACCGCAATCAATTAGATGCCACAGAAAGTGCGGCTGGGTTGAATCAATGACTTTGCGCTTCAAGTTATTAGTGCGTGAGCGGGTGGGGGTTGGGTGTGGGGGGAGCTCGTTAGCCTGGGCAGTGCACTTTGAGCAACAAGGCACATCACAGCAGTAAGCAGAGACATTTCTGACTTGTCTGGGCTTTCATCCGCGATACGGCGATTCCAGGGCTCGCGGTGGTGGCCCAAATGCTGGGTCTGCATGCCCATGCCGTAGGCTTGCCCACCGGCACCCATCTCATCAAAACCGGCCTCTCCCTTCCTCTGCTCACCTGCACGTCCCCAGCAGCGGGGCTGTAATACGCCCTGCGGAAGATCTCGGTCATGTTCCTGAGTACGTCCATGGTGGAGAGCAGGTCCCCGCTGTAGCTGGTCCCGTCCTGGGAGATCTCCACCAGGTTTTGCAGCACTTCCGACACCCCTTCCCCCATCAGCCCCCGCTGGGCTTTGGAGAGATGCTCCCTTGTCTGAGACGAGAGAAGAGGGCGGCGAGTCAAACACACATGGCAGGGGAGCTCTCAGGAGCACAGACTAGAGGATCACCGCAGTCCCATCTGGTCTCAGGTCGCCTGTTCAATTCCCTGCCGTTACAGGGCCCTTAGCATGGGTGGTAGCTTGGCCTCCCCTTCCCTTTACCTCTCCATGACAGTTCAGTCTGCTGAGGACTGAAGCACTCGAGTCTAAACCAAGTCCTTTGGCTCTATACAAAGGACCGGAGAGAAATGCTCTGGCCTGTGATACACGGGAGGACGCGTGTGATGGTCTCAGGGTCCCTTCTGGCCCTCAGCTCTGTGCAATCAGGGAGACCCTGTGAGATCTGCGAGCTGGCTAAGGGAAGACAAGTGAATCCCACTTTCCTTGGGGCCAGAAAGGGACACATCCCTGCAGCTGCTCTGCCACATTATTCCAGCTGCAGGGGAAGATTTTGCTCACCACGGAGACCTGGTGCAGTTTTATTCCTGAGTTACAGCCATGCTAGCCCCGAGACAGCAACCAGGACAGTTCTGCGGCAGGCACTGACTTTCCAGATGAGCCACCGGAGTGTGGCAGGGGCAGGGCAGTTTTTATTATTATACCAGCTAGGGCGGGGGTTTCCAAACTAGGAAACTGGGGGATGTCGGGCACTGGGTGTGGTTGCTGAAGGCAGATCAGGTGACCAGTGGGCGGGGCTTCCTGTCCTGGCACTGCAGACTGCGCTGCGCCCCAGAAGCGGTCGCCAGCAGGCCAGGCTCCTAGGTGAGGGTGGAGGGAGCACACAGGGCTCCATGCACTGCCCCTGCCCTGAGCACTAGCTCCGCACTTCCATTGGCTGGGAACCTGCTGCCAGCTGCTCTGGGGTGCAGCATGGTCTGCGGTGCCCGGAGAGGCGCTGCAGCAGCTGCACCGCTGCCTGGGAGCCGCTCAAGGTAAGCCCCTCCTGCCCCTGCAAAGCCGGACCCCCTCCTGCACTCCAAAGCTGCATCCTCAGCCCCACCCTGGAGCCCACACTCCAGTCAAACGATTTTCTTCAACTGGGCCATGAGAAAAAAAAAATCTCTGAGCTCGAGGACCTATCCGAGACCGGGGCCCCCATCACGCTAGACACTAAAATACCCAGCGAGCGACTATTCTTCTTGCAAGGCGTTTACAGTCTAACCAGACGCGTCGGGCAGAGGGGGAAGAAGGAACAACGATCCCTGTTTTACAGCTGGGAGCGCCGTGCTTTTCTGCGCACTGGAAAGGTCCGCAAGGCCGTGCGTTTACGCCTTCCCTCCCAAAGTGCTTTACAAACTCTCCTGGCACGGCCACCGAAATGCAGCCCCACAGGGCACAACGGTTTAGGGCAGAACGGGGTGGCATCCTGGCTTTAACTCTGTGGGGTGAACGTCAGGAAACTGGAATTTGGCCAGGAAATGGAGGATAACACCCAATTGCAAGTGGCCAGCCCTCTGATTTAACCACAGAGCCTTCTGCAGGGCCGCCACCCTCTCCCATCGTCACGGGACACTGGCTCAGTACAGAAGAATGGGTCACCACTGGATTCATAATCCCATTTTGGGTCTCTCTGGGGACTCTCCCATATTAATTATGGCAGGGGGAGAAACAGATCCATGCACATGAGAAGTGAATCTTTCTTACCATCACCTGTATGTTCCTGTAGTCAATGGAAACACACTTGATGTACGTCGGAGACTCCCAGTACGCTATCCCTTCTTCATCTAAAGTGCATCTTCGGAGGATCAACCCTAAAGGAGAATGAAAGGGGCATGGAAGAGAGGCCAGCTGGATGTGGCCAGGGGGATCCAGTGGCTATTGCGTACTTGGACTTTCAAAGTCTTTGACAAGGTCCCGCCCCAAGGCTGTTAAGCAAAGTAAGCAGTCATCGGAGCACAAGGAAGGCTGGAAGCTAGGAAAGGCAGGTTAGGAATAAATGGCCCATTTTCACTGTGGAAAGAGGTTAAAAGCAGGGTCCTTCAAGGATCTGTACTGTGGCGTTCAATGTATTCATCAATGGTCTGGAAAAGGGAGGGAGAAACAGTGGGGTGACAAAGTTCGCAGGAGATACTAAATTACTCAAGGAGAAAGCTGGCAGTGAGGAGTTACAAGGGGATCTGACACGACTGGGCCCCAAAATGGCAGTGGACGTGCCCTCTTCCTCTTTGAGAGTCCCCCAGGAGCAGGTTGTCCTCAGTTCACAAGCAGGGTTTTATTGCTTATCGGTTTAGCAACCTTCCTTTGGGCACACTTTCTTGCACCTGGTTGGGGTGCAAGCCACAGACCCTTCCATGACCGCTTACTCCAGGCTGGGACCTAGGCAAAGACTGGGCCATGGGAGAATATTAGACAGCACAGGCTGAGCCATCCAGCGAGAACCACGAGGGTTGCGTTTGTCCAGGAGCCTCAAAAGAACCCCCCTGGCATTCATCTCTCCATCACGCTTAGCCCCCACATCCATTCCCACAATGGCTCAGATCCTGCCACTGAAGACCTGCCCCGAGGCCTCTCGTGGCTTGGAAGGGCACGTTCTCCCGCACAGCATGGCCTCCAGAAGGCAGCGGTGCAGAGAGAAAGCAGACACACCCACCATGTGCTTCTGGAGAAAGCTTCCCAGCGGTCATGCACGTCCCTCACTGCAACACAACCTGGTCCTCTTTGCGTCGGAGGGGACCGAGATCCGTCTGAGTTCAGGGTGACTCCACTGGCAGGACTTACCCGTGGCATTGCGAGGACACCGGACAGCCGCAGCATCTCCAGCGGGCGTTTCCTTCCACACCACGGAACCAAAGTTATCCTCGTCGCATATCTCGTGGGGCTCTGCAAAGGACAATGGGTTAGCACGGCTGTCTGCTCAGCAGCAGTATGATGGGACGAAAGGAAGTGGAGAGTTGCAGAGAGGAAAAGGCAAGAGGAAATGGGAGAGGAAGAGAAAGGACCTGGTAGCATGGAGGAAAAAGAGCTGTGCCGACAGCCAGCAGCTCCTGAGACAAACCCCAAGGCTATGTCTACACAAAGAGTTTTCTCGGCAAAAGCATATGCTAATTAGGGACTCATTTGCATGCGTTGCGGTCTCATTTGCATATTTTCTCTGATCCGTTTTTTCACTAGGGCTACGTCTAGACTGGCATGATTTTCCGCAAATGCTTTTAACGGAAAAGTTTTTCCGTTAAAACCATTTGTGGAAAAGAGCGTCTAGATTGGCACGGACGTTTTTCCACAAAAGCACTTTTTGCAGAAAAGCATCCGTGCCAATCTAGACACGGTTTTGCGCAAGAAAGCCCCGATCGCCATTTTTGCCATCGGGGCTTTTTTCCGCAAAACAGTTTTTAGCTGTCTACACTGGCCCTCTTGCGCAAAAACATTTCCGGAAAAGGGCTGTTGCCTGAACTGGAATGTCAAAGCATTTGCGCAAGAAGCACTGATTTCAGACAGTAGAGCGTCAGTGCTTTTGCGCAAAATCAAGCAGACAGTGTAGACAGCTGGCAAGTTTTTGCGCAAAAGCAGCTGCTTTTGCAGAAAAACTTGCCAGTCTAGACGCAGCCTAGGGGTTTTGTGCAAAAACAAGCAGTGTGGACAAGCAGTTTTCTTTTAGTGCCAAAAAATCCTTTTTGCAAAAGATCGGTTTACCCCCTTTTTTGGGGCATAAGGATATTGCGAAAAAAGGGTTTTTTGTGCAAAAAGAAAACATCCACACTGCTTGTTTTTGCACAAAAACCCCAGCGCAAAAACAGATCATCAGAAAATATGCAAATGAGACTGTGACTCATGCAAATGGGTCCCTCATTTGCTTATTTTTTGCCAAGAAAACTCGTACTGTAGACGTAGCCCTGGGGTTTATCTCAGGGCAGCTGCTTGTGTTACACTCACATAGTAGAGGGCTGGCGTGGAAGGTAGAGGGGTGGGGTTGCTGGTGACTCCTGCCTAGGAGGCATTACACCCATGCTGGGCTCTGTATGCTTCACACACTGCTGCCCAGAACTGTAGCACCTTACGGGAGGAGAGGTTGGAAGGGGAAAGGGCAGGAAAGAACGGGAGAGGAGACACAGCTGGCCAGTTGAACCTAGAGAGCTCCCTCAGGCCTGACACAGGCAGCTATGGAACCATGGACACGGGGTGCCCACGGCGCCAGGCAAACATGGAAAAGCAGAGAGCGAAGCATCTCCCCATAGTGCTGAGAAACTGGGCTTCGATCACAGAGCCCGTCACAGAGCCCGGCAGGATGCTGCCACGTTTAAAGGATGCCTCTGCTCCCAGCACCGGTGGAGCGCACCCCATGCCGTGGCTGCACCAAATTCCAACTTCCGTGGGGTCCAACGGGCCCGGGGCTGGGAGGAAAGGGGCGGCTGCCCAGTGAGGCAAGGCTGTGCCAGTTCCCAGAGGGAGTGAAAGCGTCCCTGGTGCGTTGAGCACGTTGGAAGCTCGTCGGCCACGCCCGGGATGGTTTCTGTGGGAGAAGATTCCGTGCGGGACATAAACCCGTGGAAGCTGTGAATCTGCTATGAAAACCATTGATCACTCCTGGCGGGGGAGGGAAACCTCATCTGTACCGGTTTGCAATTACAGCTCCTCTTTATTGTGCACGCAGAACTACCCGTCCGCAGGGAGGCTACAGCACAGCTGTTCCCATCCAGGCCTGGCAGCTCCCAAGCCAGTGATGGCCACTGACCGGCCTCGGCAGCTGTTCTCTGCGCTCTCCTCCCACGCGGGGAAGCAATGCCAGTGCCAGCGTTCGGCGGCGCCGGTGGAGGTGTGCCAGATGATTGGCCGAGCTGCCGGGCTGGGGCCAGTGGCTGCAGAGGACTGAAATAAACCCATTTCCTAGGTTCTCTGGGGCTATGTCTACACTGGCGTGATCTTGCGCCAGAGCTATGCAAATGAGGCTAAACGTGGAATATCGCTGATCCTCGTTTGCATATCTAATGAGCTGCCATTTTTCCGGAAGAGGCTCTTGCGCAAGGAGCTGTCTACACGGCCCCTTCTTGCGCAAGAAAAACCTTCTTGTGCAATGCTGTTATGCTGATTATTTTCAGGAAGAACAGCGTTGCGCAAGAGGGGTTTTCTTGCGTAAGAAGGGGTAGTGTAGACAGCTCCTTCTTGCGCAAGAGCCTCTTCTGCAAAAATGGCGGCTCATTAGATATGCAAATGAGGCTCGGCGATATTCCACGCTTAGGCTCATTTGCATAGCTCTGGCGCAAGATCGCGCCAGTGTAGACATAGCCTGGGTGTTTTACTGTGAGCTCTGGGGAATCGTGGCGCATGCCTGGTCCACAGCCCCGAGTGCATCGTCAGCATAAGGAGCACCCACAAGGCCTCCAGGATGCCTGACGAGGGGACCCACTACTGGGTCGGGTGTGCACATCTGCCCCTTTGTTACTTTGGAACTGCCCGCAAGGCCCCTCTGAGCGGAGGCACGGCAGTGAGTGTAAGGGCATCAGAATGCGGAGCAAACTCTGACTGTGGGGCAGATTGGCCCCGGGTCTTGGGGGTTACTCCTATGTCTATCAAGGCCCCAGACAGAAAGAGAGATCCACGGGTACCCAGTTCAGAATGGAATCTACACCCCAAACCATCTGTATTGAAACAGCCCCCTTCCCCCTCCATGTTTCCTTGAAGACCACAACCCCCAATCAATCATGATATTAGCTTCTAAAGAGCTCTCAGCACGTTCCTTTTAACTGGGTGGGAGAAAGAGAGTATTATTTTCCCTGTTTAAGTGAAGGTTGTCTGAAGCACGGGGATTAAGTGACCTGCCCATGGCAGAAGGGGTATCAGTAGCAGAGCTGCGAATTGAGCTGAGATCTCCTGAGACCCGGCCCAGTGCCGGCTTGTGACTGCCTTCTCCAGGCAGTGCTGTGGGACACTGCACACCAGGAATGCTTTGTAGAAAGGCCCTGGCAGTGTCTCATCTACAAGCACAGGCGCGCTTCCCCAGCCAGGAAGGAATAGGCTGATCCTGGCACCATCTAAGATCGCTTTGTAACAAAATCCTTTTCACGCCGGGAAGCGAGTTGCACTGGGAGATGTGAATGTCTAACCTGGCTTAGCTCAGTCCTCCTGCGAAACAAAATCATGTTGCTCTTTGAGATTTCCTGGAGCACTAACGGAGCAGGTTTGCTTTTAGCCATAGACTTGCAGAGTCCTTCTTGGCACCCTGACTCCACCCCTCCAAAAAAGAATAATTACAGCAGGACCAGCATTGCTGAGATGTGCCTCCTTTTGGGTAGGACAGCACAGCTCCAGGCCTCTACCGAAATGAGCCAAAGGACGTAGCTTGCTCCGGCTCCTTAGCTCACATAAACTGAAGGTCAAGTCCAGGAAGCGGAGGGTCTGCTCCCAAGTCTGTCTATGGCCAGGGGATGTGGTGTGGCTGAATTAGAAGAGAATCCAGGTGGTCATCAACAGCAGAAGTTAGGTGCCACCTTCCAGCTACGGTTTGGGGCTTTTACCCTTCGGTGGCACAAAGACCCCTGTGACCATCTGGTCTGACCACCTGTGAAACAGAGGCCACCGAATTTTCCCAGCGAGCCAAGTCAACATACCCAGCAGGCTCGCCAGTGGAGGGGGGCCAAAGTTGGTGATTGCCCCGGAGCGGTGGCCAGAGCCGCCGGCCCTTTAAATCTGTCCCCAAGGACCACACAGAATGCTCTGGGTAGCACTGAGGGCTGGGGGAAGCATGCTGCAGTCCGGGCAGCACTGAGGGCTGGCTGCCCTAGCCCCGCCCCTTCTCCTCAAGGCCTCGCCCCTTCTCCTCAAGGCCCCGCCCTTCCAGGAGTATTGAGCTGCGCCCGACAAGCTTTGCCAAGTGGAAGCTGTTGCCTCCCCTAACGTCCAGTCTTGACTGATAGACTCCGGGGACGGAGAAGCCCCCCCACTCCCGGGCATGATGAAATACCCCCACTTTTTAAAGAAATCGGTATCTTATCCCCGGTAACCGTTGTGACTCTCCAGCCTGACCTCTGTGCCACACAAGCCAGGCTCTTTCCGCCAGGGATCTCACCAGAAGAGACTCCGCGAGTGGCTGGCAAAGGAAATGCTTTCGAGCCCTGTCGCTCCTTTCTGCTCCTGGTGTTTCACACTAGACCCCCGGGTTTTCTCTGCCCTGCCCAGCCCTCCAGCCCAGACTGCATGCTGGTCCCCAAAACTGCAGCAGGTTCCGCTCCCCGGGAGCTGAGGAACTGACCAGACTCACGCAAGCTGGGCCGGCCCGGGGCTGCTCTGGGAAGGGCAGAGGCCTGTGGACGGCCCCGTGGGAGTAGTGTGAAAATGGCAGCGCATTCGGGTGCCTCTAGTATGGCTTTTGCTGCGTATCACACGTCGGTTCTTTGCCTCCCTCTAAAGCGCCGTCTGTCTGTCCCCAAACACAGGCCAGTCGAGAAGCACCGAGCAGCAGGCCCAATGGCACCGCCCTTGGAATCAAGAGGAGCCTTTGATCGGCGTTGGATCGAGCCTCACTGACAAACCTGTGCTGTGCAGGAGGCCAGGCCCCACCATGCGCGTTGCCGGTGTGAACAGTAAGCGTGTGAGATACCTACCAGGGCATTTCTTGTCATTGCACTGCTTGTACTCCTCCTTGGGCCCCTGGCAGGCGTCTCCTCCGAAGAAGGGGCCGTAGCACACTCGGTCGCGCCTCTGCGTCCCGCCCCCGCAGGAGGTCGTGCAGCTCCCCCACGGCCCCCACGCCTGCCACTTGCCGTCCACTGCAGGAGAGAAAACCGGGCCTGAGCTTCGTCGGCAACCGCCGGGAACTCGAGCCCGAGGTGGAGGCTCGCAGTGTTACGGCTGGATGGGCCGGGGGGTGCCCATTGCGAAGGCTCTAACGCTAGCTAAGGGGCGCAGGAGGCAAGGATGGGTGAGGGTCACATAACAGCCCGTATCTCGGTTGCTTTTCCCCACCGATGGCCTCACTCGGCTCTCACTCGCATGAGGGACTCCAGGAGCAGCTTCCTTGTAGCCGTCCGTGTAAAGGCTCGTTATCGCGGCTGGAAGCTGGGGATTGCTGCTCCACTATTTTAGTTGCGGTGGAAGAAGTTTGAACCCTGGAGACTTCTGGGAAGGGGAGGGGAGCACGCAGCCTGTAAACCCCCCCGCACCCTGGCATGCTGCGCACTAGCTGGCTACCCGGACCCTGCTACTGGGCACTTGTAGTTCCCGCTGCACGCTGGCTCTTTGCGACTGGAAGCAGGAGTATGTCAAAGCATCCTGAGGAATGGATAATGCGTGGTAGCAGGATCCAGACAGCTAATAAATACGTGCCACACTGGTGTACTGTAAATTGGCATCCCCAGCTCCCTGTGTATTAACTCTCCAGGTCCAGACATACTCTGAAATCGTAGGCTTATGCCCAGAGTCAATTGTACACGTCCTTCTCCAGTGCAAACTTCATCTCAGGTCTCCCCTCCCCGCCTCAGCCCCAGCCTGAAATAGGATGACGTCCAGGGGTCTCACGACAGACACAAGAACCAGGCTCAGCTCTGTTCAAATCAGCTGCCAAAGAGCAGCATTAATTCACTTCTGACCCCTGGCCGTCGACCCCGTCCCGTTTCGTTGCTCAATGTGCAGCGGCAGTCAAAAACGCCAACAGCATGTTAGGAGCCACAAGGAAAGAGGATAGAAAAAGAAGACAAAATCTATCATAATGCCACTGTATGAAGCCATGGTACATTCACATCTTAAATACCGCAGGCAGGGCTGTTTGACCTGTCAAAAAAGATGTATGAGAATTGGAAAAAGTACAGAGAAAGGCAACAGAAATGATTCAAGGCATGGAGCAGCTCCCACAGGTGGAGAAAATAAAAAGCCTGGGACTATTCAGCTTGGAAAGGAGGTGACTACGAGGGGATATGTCGGGGTCTATAGAATCATAACGGGTGTTGAGATAGTGAATAGAGAGGTGCCTTTACTCCTTTAGATAACACCAGAACCAGCATCACCCCATGACATGAATAGATAGGGGGTTTAAACCAAACATAAGGAAGCATTTCTTCACCCAGGCTATGTCTAAACTGCAGGCTTCTTTCGAAAGAGCCTCTTTCGAAAGATCGCGTCTAGACTGCAGGCGGATCTTTCGAAAGAGAAATCCGCTTTTTCGAAAGAGAGCACCCAGCGAGTCTGGATGCTCTCTTTCGAAGACGGCCTCTTTACATTGAAGAACGCCTTCTTTCGAAAGAGGAACTTTCGAAGGAAGGCATTCTTCCTCGTAAATTGAGGTTTACCGCCATCGAAAGAAAAGCCGCGTTCTTTCAAAATAATTTCGAAAGAACGCGGCTTGAGTCTGGACACAGGGGAAGTTTTTTCGGGAAAAGGCTACTTTTCCCGAAAAAACCCCTGAGTCTGGACACGGCCCCAATGCCCAGCCAAGCTATAGAACTCTTTGCCGGGAGGAGGGATTGTGAAAATCCAACGTTGAACTGGGCTCAAAAAAGAAATAGATTGGTTCATGGAGGATGGGTCCATCCATCGCTATTAAACCAAGATGATCAGAGACGCAATTCCCTGCTTTGGGAGCCCTGAGCCTCTGACTTCCCAAAGCTGGGACTGAACATCACAGGATCGATCCCTGGGTAAACTGCTCTGTTCTGCTCATTCGCTCTGAAGCATGTTGCTCCAGCCACTGTCAGAAGACGAAATACCGGGGGGAGAAGAACCACTGATTTGATCCAGTCTGGCCATTCTTGTGTTTTTATTTCCCATCACCTGAGACATCCAGGCCTCCTGGTTCATCTCACCCAGGGCTAAGATGTTGGGGCTGCTTGTGGAAGCTCTGAATAGACAGGCACTTATATTCGTGAGTCAAGGTGGGTGAGGTAATAAACTTGACAAGACCTTTGCGTAAGGCCCAAACCTTGACCCCTCCACCAACAGAAGTTGGTCCAATAAAAGATCTTACCAACCCTCTTCTCTCTAGTGCCAACACACCTAGCACAACACCGCGTGCGTGTAATAGCCATTTAATAACCAAAGCATACAGCTTCAATCCAAATGGCCATTTCACAAGCTTCACTTCTTCAGCTTAGGGAGTGAGGTGCTACCAATACAGTAGATTTTGAGAAGTAGAAAAACCCCACAGAGACAACCAAGAAGCCACTTTCCAGCCATGGAGTTACTGCCCACTTTGGGTTCGTCTACACAGCTGCGTTATTTCGGGAAACTGACGTTATTCTGAAATAACATCGTCCGTGTCTACACTACACACAGTTATTTTGACGTAACGTCAAAATAATGTCGAGCTGGGGGACTTCTTACTCTGATTTCTGTCACCCTCGTTTTACGAGGAGTAAGGGACGTCGAAGGAAGAGTGGTCTGACTCAGACTTCCTGCTGCACAGACAGCACCAAAAGCCAAAATAAGCTATTTCAATTTAAGCTAAGCAATTGACTTAGCTGAAGTGGTGTGGCTTGTTTCAGCTTTTGCCCTGCTGTGTAGATGTGCCCGAAGACTTCATTGTAAGTGAAATTCATTCTTGTGCAAGGAGCTACCTCACGGCCCACTCACCATGTCAAACTGCAGAATCAGCCCTCAAGAACATAAATTGGCCAGATTCCTTCCTGGATCAAGTCACTTGTTTTTACATTCTGGGCCTGAGGTATAAAAGATTTTGTCTGTGTGGGTTTGTTTCACGGGCCTTGGGAATGGGATTTGCAAGCGCTCTGAGATACAGACTGTAAGATTGTATAGTTCCATTGTCACTCCTCCGATTGCTTCTGCATCCTCCATGGACATGCTGCCTTGTAGCTCACTTCTTACTATTCAGAATGACATTTCACATTTCCAAAGCACTGTACAAATGTTAATTAATCCTCCCAACATGCCCGGGAGGTAGGGAAATATCCTCGTCACGTCATACAGAGGGAATAGTGCGTTGTCTGTGGCCATGTAGCAGAGTGAGACGGAGAACCCAGGAGTCTGGATTCCTATTTCTAATCACATTTTAGCTACAAATCATGTAAGACATCTATTGTAACAAGACAGTGACAGGGCAGGGATTACTTTTCTACACCATTATCATAAAACACATGCTATGCCACAACCGCTAGCCCAGTGTTTCTTAAACTTTTTAAGACCGAGGAACACCAAACATTCATTTTGTTTTATGAGGAACGCCAAGGATTTTTTGTTGAGCAAAAGAAAAGGTCGGGGGAAGTTGTTGAGCCAAAAAAAAAAAAAAAAGTCGACTGCCCCTTTAATGGTGGCCATTTTGAACTCTGTTCTTCACGGCACATCTCCGACTGCCTCACGGCACACCGGTGTGCCCCAGAACACAGTTTAAAAAAAACGGCTCTAGCCCTTTCTACACCAACATCATCTGTACTTTCTGTTCAGGGCCATGTCCCCACAACACTCGAAACCTTGCTAGCAACCACCTGAGAACAGAAACTCAGCAACTGAAAAGGGATAAGGCCTAAATAGCGGAGCCTATTTTTGTCAGGGCAGGAAAGCCAATGCCCTGTCCAAGCACTGCTTTGTGAGAGTGGTGTTCTGCTGCTAGAGAAAGTAGTCCCTGATGGACCTTGTGATATTCTCTGAGAAATATGACCACTGCAAAGCCCTCAGTTACCCGCACCTGCCTAAAAGCTGACCTGGAGCCTGTTGTGCTGTGGAAGCCAAGCAACTGAATTCTCTCCCATCCCATAAGCCCTGCTTAGTTCCCCGCACAAAGCCCGTTCCCTCAGAGACTGGTGAAGTGCACCCGACTATAAGCAGAGCCTGGCTCAGGCAGGTAACTGAGACTTGCCGGTTTCACACTTCTCTGGCACATGCTTCCACTCCAGTTCCCTTCTGAAATGACCTATCCTAGGCCCTCTCCCCTATGATGCAAAGTGGCTATTCCCAACCGTGAAGGACTAGTCACAATGACCTAGAAGCTACAGATCTTGTTTTTCTACTATGAGCAAAGAAAAGTGCATGATCATTTCTGTACCGTTCACGTTCAGTGTTCCCCAACCTCTCTCTCAAGCCAGACACGGTGAGGGTTAATCCTATGTCAGTCCCAATCATGAATTGGACAAGTTCATTCGTAGGCCACAAATATGATGAAAGGAGGAGGGTGAAAATGCCACAGCACTATGGAAAAAATTCCATAGAAGAGATTTAATAGATAGGATAAAGTTTTCAAAAGCACCTAAGTCACTTAGGAGTCTATGTCCCATGGGACTTAGGCACTTTTGACAATGTTGGCCTATGACTATACTGTTGGGACGGGAGACAAATGAGAAGTTTACAACTCAAAGACAATAATCAGAGTCCCTTTACTCATCCTTTCGCTTAATGGTAGAATAAGGGGACACTAGTGAAATGGAAAGGCAATCACTTGGAACTTTTGGTTTAAACAGTGCTTAATTAACCTGTGGAACTGCTTGCCACAAGATTTGATTGAGGCCAATGGCTTAGCAGAAGTCCAAAAAAGGATTTTAAAATTATATGAATAATGCTGACATCCACAGCAGCATGAAAGAGAATCAAACAATTGTAAAGGATATACATCATTAGTTTTCATGTCATATGGCAACCAATGACCTCAGATTAGGAAAATACTTCCCCTATGGTCAGGCTATTCTATTATTGTCCACTAGGGGGTTTCTTGCACCTTTCTCTGGAGTATCTGTCCTAATGGTATACTGGAGTAGAGGAACCATTGTTAATGGAAGGTGGACCAGTGGGGAAAATAGAACTGTTCTTCCTCAAGGGAAATAAAGGGGCATTTGTCATAGTCACGGTGCAACTGTAGAGAGTTGGGGAGGGATCCATGATACACACTAACCCATTTTCCACTGACCTGGGCACTGCCTTAGGAAGCAGTCTCGGGTTTCCACCCAGTGCCCCTGGCACTCCGCTCCACCGTAGGAGGGTCCGTTGCACTCCCGTGTCCGCTGCTGGGTACCGTTGGAGCAGGTGGAAGAACAGGAACTCCAGCTCGACCACTCATTCCAGTTCCCATCCACTGAGTGGCCCAAAGAGAGAAAAAGAAGCAGAGAATGTGAAAATCCCTTTCACCAGGATGGAGGCCTGTTCCACGAGGACTGGCCAGTCAAACCAAGGTACGGTTGTGCTGGACACAATACAGTGGGCCAAAGCCGACAGAGCCATGCTGCACATACTGAGAGATGTAGATGGGTATACAAGGGAAGGAGCACTCAAACTCTGTCCCGCCTTAGCAATATATATATATTTCATGGGAAAAACCCATCTGAGGAAGTGGGTTTTGCCCATGAAAGCTCATGATACTATAGATATGTTTAAACAAAAAACAGGACTGTGTAGCACTTTAAAGACTAACAAGATGGTTTAATAGGTGATGAGCTTTCATGGACCAGACCCACTTCCTCAGATCAAATAGTGGAAGAAAATTGAACACATATGAATTAATTGTATCCTTTGGTATATATGGTTGTGACAATTTTCTTCCACTATTTGATCTGAGGAAGTGGGTCTGGTCCATGAAAGCTCATCACCTATTAAACCATCTTGTTAGTCTTTAAAGTGCTACACAGTCCTGTTTTTTGTTTCAGCTGCACCAGACTAACACGGCTACATTTCTACCACTATAGATATGTTTGTTAGCCTCTAAAGATGCTAGTTGTTTTTAAAATTACAGACTAACATGGTTACCCCTCTGAGACTTTCAACCTTAGCAATATAGACTATTTCAGTATCACAGATTATGCCAGATAATATTATAACAGCATATAATAACACAAACTTTTTGACTTTCATAGTAGTATTGCAAATACCATATTACAAATGATAACATATCATCCTAATGATAAAGTATAAAAAAAAAAGATATTTTGAGCCAATTGTCACAAACTGTTCTGATTCTTTTTCATTGAAAGTTTTCATCAAAATCAATAAGCTCTTGTGGAAGATTTCAATTTTGCCAAATCAGTACGTTCCAGTGGAAAAGTGGACACGTTTGAGACATTTTGACCAGGTCTAGTTCAAAGTGGTGTATGTGGAAAGAAGGAAAGATGGAGGGATGTGTTTTAAAATTCCATCTGTCTTTCAGAGAGAATATTTGCACAGGAACTCAATGTTATTCAATGGAATTCACTGTGTAGCAGGATATACCGTATGGCACAAGTGGAATGAAATAAAGATCCGCAAGTGTGTATGCATGTATATATCAAAGCACTTCTCTTTTTGAGGCAGTCTTTGCATGTATCTTTGCATGTATCTGAGTGTATTGACAGTCTTTGCATGTATCTGAGTAGAAACATCTTGGATAATACATTAGCAAAAAATGGCAAAGGGAAATTCTGAAAAGCCCAGGATAGGAATGGAACATGACTGCCTTTTATTAGTGTGATCTATTTTAAAACATTTCCTACCATGGCAGCTCCGCTCTAATTAGCCCCCAATCAACAGATATCGCATCTAACCTTTCTACCAGTCCTGCTTTGTCTCATTAGCAATGGTGCTTGTTATCTACCTGGCTAAAAACAAGCGAGGCCCAGCGGTGGGTCTACCCTTAAGGTTCTGAATCTCTCCCGAACCCCATTTTTCAGAGATTTAAGCTTCCTTCTGCATAAAAAGTTTGGCTCCTCAGACCCAGACACAAATTGATTAAAAAGTATTTGACATCTGGTTCCTTTTTTGTAATTTACAAGCTCTCAAAAGGCACCACATTAATCTCAGGGTCTCACTGGTTTTTGTTTGTTTAATTGTCTGTGCACATGAAAGACAATGCATGACAGCCAAAAATGTACAATTTCAAAGCTAATCGGAGTGGCAAGGAATCAGCCAAAAAGAACATGAGGCAACTTAGTTCAGTACCTATGTATGTATTTAGGTGCCCAGCTGTAGCCGCTCCACTAGGAAGACTTTGAACGCCTATGCTCTTGGTTCTGTATCAATGCATATGAATGCCACGGGGCTGAGTTTTAAGAGATGTAAACCCCACTGGAGTCAGCGAGATGACTCCTCAAAGGATTTGTCCCAGTAATAGCAATGATAATTGTGGAGCTGTTCCTAACTCAGCACAGCTTCATTGACTTCAACACAACTATGATTCATGCCAGGTGAGGCTGAGTTTCTGCATCTCTTAGGCTACGTCTAGACAGCAGGGCTATTTTGGGATACTGGAAGTATCCCAAAATAGCAACTCTGCATCTTTAAATGCACCTGTGATTTCCAAATAGATTTCAAAATAACGGGCATGCCATTCCGGTGTCCCTGTAGCCCTCGTTCCACGAGAGTTAAGGGCCTTGTTGGAATTGCGCTTTATTACAAAAGAACCTCGAAATAAGCTATGCAATTTGTGTAGTGCAAATTGTGTCACTTATTTTGATTTAAGGGTGCTGCATAGATACACCCTTATAGTCCATATAAGTAAAATATTGCAGCATTTATCACTATAGCTCCATGTGCGACGGTACCACTACTCTACACTATCAGGCTAGGGGCTATTCTTATAGAGCGGGGGTTGGCAACCTTTTCAAACCAAAGAGCCAAACTACATCAACATTCAGTACAAGTGGTCAACAAAGAGCCATGTAAGAATGCCTGAAATATACAACTTATTATTGACCATTGACATGATGATTAATAATAGCATGAATGAAACGTACTCACAGACTTTATTTAATGGCACTTCTGCTGCTGCATCTTTTCGCACATTTCTTTGACAGTAACATCATAACTGGTCAAATCCAGCTTCATGCACGCATGCAAGCTACATGAGTAATCACGCGTTTATAAAATTTTCCATTTTCCATTTTCATTTTAAAAGTTGCCTGTATTTTGGGGATGATGAAAGAGCCATATTCGGTTCTGTACTGAGCCATATTTGGCTTGAGAGTCATAGGTTGCCAACCCCTGTTATAGAGGAGTGAGGCATTTGTTGTGTAAGGAGGATAAAATGGGAATGTGTCTATAGGGATCTGCCTTGTGAATCCACCCACTGAATAGGGGACCAGGGAAAAGTCATATTACATAGAGACAGGACTGCCATATTCAGTAGACTTCCAATAATCCGGCACCCTTGGGACCCAGGGGGTGCCGGATTATTGGATATGCTGGAGTATCGGGAGGTACTCCGGCGGGGTGCTGTGATAGATCTGCCAGGACCCGCACTGCATGGGGGGGTCGGCGGGGAACAGCGCGGGGAACGGCGAACCCTCCGCCATGTTGTGGGGAGGTAGTGGAAGCCCCGTGCAGCTGGCTTTCAAGCAGGGAAACTTGTAAGCAGCGGCAGTGGAGAGGTGGGGGTTGGTGGGGAATGCTGCCTGCTTTTTGCCCCCTCTCCGTCGCTGCCACTTACAAGTTCCCCCGCTTGCAAGCCAGCTGCGCGGGCCTTCCACTGCCTCCCTGCAACATGGTGGAGGGTTCGCCCCTTGCTGCGCTGTTCCCCGCTGACACCCCCCCCACCTGCCCGCCCGCCTGCCTTCCTTAAACAGCTGCCTGCCTCTCGCCCCCTCTCCGCCTCTGCTTCTGGGCACTCCAATTGTCCGGCTGGCTGGAGCACTTCCGGGTTCCAGTTGGTGCCGGACTATCAAGAGTGCCAGACCACTGGATGCCGGACAATTGGAGTTTTACTGAATTTGCTTTATTCTCATAACACTAGCACCAGGTGTCACCACATGAAATGAATAGGTTTAAAACAAACAAAAGGAAGTATTTTTTTCACACAGCACACAGTCAACCTGTGGAACTCCTTGCCAGAGGATATTGTGAAGGCCAGATAAATTCATAGAGGATAGGTCCATCAATGGCTATAAGCCAGAGATAGAGTCTTTGGTCTCTGTCAGAAGCTAAGAATGCATAACAGGGGATGGATCACTTGATGATTGCCTGTTCTGTTCATTCCCTGTGGGGTACCCGGCATTGGCCATTCTTGGAAGGCAGGATCCTGAGCTAGATGGACCTTTGGTCTGACCCAGTCTGGCCGTTCTTACGTCCATGTATTGTATTTTCAGGAAGTGTAGGAAATGAAGCCAGAAGAGCTGGCTGTGGTTCCAGGTTATATCTTTACTCATAGCTCCAGTCATAAAGGGCACCCATCCAGTACGGTGCTGAGACCCCACCATTCCTATGGACATCAGGGAAGTGAGGCGGCTCGGTAGCTGGCAGCCTAGACCACAAGCAGCATGAGGCAATGACAAGCGAAGAACGGGCCGTTCATTAGACGTTCTCCCTCTATGGTCTATGTGCACAATCCGTTGGCTCTCTCCTCTCCTTCCAAAGAGAGGCAGGGCCCATTCTGTGCCGCCAACCCCGCAGAATAAAATGCCATTGTGCCAGTAACAGAGTTTTGTACTGTGTGCAGTAATGAATCCTCCGCATAGGGCCGTAATAATTGATATGAGTGTCAAGTATATAAGGCACTGAATAGCTCCCATTGTTGTGTTTCAATGAGCACTCATTTGGCACAAAGGAGTCAATGGTTACCTTTGTGGCATTAATTAGAGCTGAAAGGTTTCTATTAATTTCCGCCTTTAATTTCATTGTTATTTTATTAGCTACGGTATATGTATTTATTTGTCTCCGAGCAATGAATTGTGTATCAATGTTAATGAAAGAGATGCTTTAGTACCCTAGCATTGTCACCCTCTGTCCTGCTCAATTTGTTTTTTTCTGAGCTGGCCAACTTGGATTCTGGGAAGTCCTCATTCTAAGCAGAGATGTTAGGAACAAAGGGATAGATACCTGGTCTGGGAACTAGGGAGAAAAATGGGTAAAGGAGCTAGCAAAATGTGGGGAGACATTTCACACAATTTTCACACACACATACCTTCCCTCCCTGCAAAGAACATTACATTTTGAAGATTTTTTTGGTCAACATTTGAAAATTTGCAATCAACCCCATTTTGGGAAGGTTGGTTATAGATCCAACATTGGGACCATGTTACTCTAAAACTTCCTCAAGACTTGCCGATCTCTAAGCCAAGATGGGCTAAGTTTTGGGACAGTCCTAGGCTTAATTTATTGTGTGGGAGATGAAAGCCCTGCCAAATGCAACAGGGTTTGATACGGAGGAAAAAAACAGCTACTTGTTGAGATTCGCTTGGAGGTTTTGAGATCATTCCAGTTTTAAACTGCATGCAAAAGTCAGCAGGGTGCAAATCTTTGAGAATTAACATCTGGAGGTGAGAGGGGATAGTCACACAGATCACAGTAAAGCTGCTAAGTTCCTCACAGATCAAATGCTGACTGAGAAAAATAGCTCCCAACGGACCATGTGGAATAATATATTAGAGGACAACAGAATCTTAGCAGTCAGACACTAGAACCTACCCGGTTCTATTGCATATCGTGTGCTCAGGTTCTTGCGAATGGGAGTTCTGACCCTAAGATTTTACTGGGTGCTAGACAAATTTCCAGAGGGACATCTCTGGAGACCAAATTCTGGAGGGGCAGCAGCAATACAAACTTTCCTCTCCATGGCCCTCCACTGTCCTTCAAACTCGTCCTCCAGACCCACTTCTAGGGTTGTTTATTCTGCATGCCCGCTTGTCTGATCAGGCTGATTAAGAAGCAAGCAACTGCCAAACGTCTTGGGTTTTGTAGAGAGCTGCCCCCCATGAACGGGGCTGGAGGGAAATGCTCTGTTTTTTACCGCCTTACCTGGGCAAAGTGCAATGTTGCAGAACTTAGTTTGTTTTTCAGGTCCCTCGCAGGGGTTTCCACCAAACTGCGGGGGCTTGCAGGTGCGGGTTCGATCCCTATACCCACGCCCACAAGTTGAGGAGCACAGACTCCACGGAGACCACTCGTCCCAGGTGCCGTGCACTGAAATCAAAGCAGAGCGCGTAAACATCCCTTTCTCAGGAGTCTTAGATAGCTCAAGAACCGTTATATGGAACGTGGTGTCTTGCCCATAGTAAGAAACCCCTTAGGGCATGTCTCCACTAGGAAACTATTTTGAAATTATTTAAATCAACTTAACTCCCAATTTAACAACATTGAAATAGCATGTCCTTGACTTAGAGCCCCAGGAAGCACTGGGGAGTAGCTACAGGCCGTCCCCGGGTTACATGGATCTGACTTACATCGGATCCCTACTTACAAACGGGGTGAGGCAACCCCGCACAGCAGACCAGGGAGACGCGGAGCGGCTTTTCTCAGCAGACACCTCAGCTTGAGAATAAAGGACTGAGGGAAGTGAGGTGTGGGAGAATAAAACTGAGTTCTGGAGAAATGTTTGGCTAGAGTTTCCCCTACAATATGTACCAGTTCTGACTTGCATACAAATTCAACTTAAGAACAAACCTACAGTCCCTATCTTGTACATACCCCGGGGACTGCCTGTAGTTTGAATTACTCTGGGGAGTCGTTATTTCAAAATAGCGGCACCGGACCATCCTCAGTGCCGCTATGTTGAAATAACTATTTTGAAATTAGTGTTAGTCCTTGAGAAAAGCAGGAGTACAGACTTTGAAATAAGTGGCCCATTATCCCATTATTTTGAAATAACGGGCTTGGTAGTGCAGACTCGCCACTTATTAATTCGACCTAACCGGGGGGGGGGGGTTCAAAATAAAGCCCTCGTGTAGATCAGGGCTAGGACACCAGCATGGGTCTTAAGGAGCAAAACAAATCAGTCAGGAGCGTGCATGGAACATTGTCGCCAAATGGCTCTTCGCTAGTTTCACAAACATGAAAAATCCTGACACGATTTTCACTGACTGCCTCTCTTTATATATTTGTGCTGGGGGTGGCGGAGGCATTTCTGAGCAAGCAGCAGAAATGCACAGTCGCAAAGAGAAAACCCTGGTGAAATTGGACAGCGCCAATGTCAAAGTCACTGAACGCCAGCCCCTCCACTAATGATACATAACCCAATGCTTTCGCTTTTATCTCTAAACCTTCACAAGGCAACAGGCTTTTAGAAAGCCACAGCACTGTCAGGAGGCAGACTTTTAAGTGCTAAAGCATCATTCAGCAATGACACAATCATAGGCAGAGCTAAAGAGACTTGGAATAGCTAAACGGGCTTGCAAAACTCCAGTGTTGTTACGGCTGCCCAAGCATTGACTAGTTACTGGTAACTGCTAGAATTAGACATCAAAAGGTGCAGCATAGAGCTGGTCAGAAAGACTTGGACCAAACCATTTTCCTTTGCAAAAATGTAGCTTGAGAGAAACCAAAATCAAATGGGCTGATTGAGTTGGGGTTGGTCCTGCTTTGGGCAGGGGGCTGGACTCGATGACTCCTGAGATCCCTTCCAGCCCTAAGATTCTATGAGTCTATGAAATGAAATTAACAAGCATCAGGTTTTAAACATACAAAAGGACGTATTTCTTCACATAATGCAAAATCAACCTGTGGAACTCCTTGCCAGAGGATGTTGTGAAAGCCAAGACTATAAAAGGGTTCTAAAAGAACTAGATACATTTATGGAGGAGAGGGCCATCAATGCATATTAGCCAGGATGCATATTAGACAGGAATGATGTCCCTAGCCTCTGTTTGTCAGACGCTGGGAATGGATGACAGAGGAGGGATGACTTAATGATTCCTTGTTCTGTTCACTCCCTCTGGGCACCTGGTGCTGGCCACTGTTGGCAGACAGGATACTGGGCTAGATGGACCTTTGGTCTGACCCACTATGGCCATTCTTATTTTCTTATATAAAACACTTGACAAAATCAAATCAATTTTGTTTCAGAACACAAAACAAATATCCTGAAAATGTTCAAGCATCCCATTTCAGTATTTTTGGAATGTGTTCTGATTTTTTTTCAATTAAGCCCAATCAAAGCCAAATGTTTTCAGAGATCCAAAACTTTGTCTTTTCTTCAGCATTTTCTTTCATGGACAATTTTTAGATTTCACTCCAAATAGGAATGATGGCAGATTTCAAAATCTCTAAAACCTTAGAAAACAGACGCTTCACTCTCTGCACAGGTCTAGTGCAGCAATTCAGTTTGCACAGCCCACAGGAGTGTACAAGTTTATCGTAGCAGGCATTTGGGTTGTAAATCAGGCTATCTCTGTTTTAGGCTATCCAATGCTGCTCAGTTTCAGTAGAGCAATATAATTTAATCTAGCCAAGGTATTTATGGAACATCAAGTTGCAGTGGGAGAGGTTTAAGTTGGATATTAGGAAAATCTATTTCCCTAGGAGGGTGGTGAAGCACTGGGAGGAGGTGGAATCTCCATCCCTAGAGGTTTTTACGTCCCGGCTTGATAAAGCCCTGGCTAGGATGATCGAGTTGGGATTGGTCCTGCTTTGGGCAGGGGGCTGGACTTGATGACTCCTGAGGTCTCTTCCAACCCTGTGATTCTATGAACATTAGTCACTGTAGAATCTAGGCTCCAAATGCCCCAAGAACAGCCCTGATCTCCTTGGTGGGTTTTTGTCCTCTCCAGCTCCAGTTCAGGATTAAATAAGAAAGTTCAGAGGCTGCTGCCAAAACAAAAAAATTGTACTACAAAATTGGCATGTGGCCTGTTCCAAACCTCCGAACCCAAAGCAGAGATTCTGGCTGGTTCTTAACAGAATGGGATCGTTAACCCCAGCAGTGGGTTATCTCGTGTGGGGGAAAGAATCCATTCATTTCCCATGGCGAAGCCACACCTTATCCCCAGGAAACGCATCCGAGGCAAAGGTTTAGTGGCTTTTCCCTGAAACGAGCTGATGTGGTGGGGTAGGACTGGACAGCAATGCTGGGAAACAGAGGAGGAGGGAGCGGGCGGAGGGGTGAGCCGGGAGAGGGGAGAATTCGCCGTTACAAATGGGTCTTGGAAATCTGATTCGGCTACTTGAGATCCTCAAGGCTGCTTGGGAAACAGAGATTGCGCCAGGCTGCCAATGCTCTCCTGGCCATTCTGAGCCGGACAGCAGAAGCACTTCCTGAGAAACCGGGGGACACCTGGCAAGCGCAGTGGCGGGACGTGGGGCCCTGGGGGCGCACCTGGGCAGACGGCGGAGTTGTTGCACTGTCTCTGCTCCCGGAGAGGGCCGCTGCACTGAGTGCTGTAGGAGGACGACACGCAGAACCTGGTCCTGGTCTGCCAGCCCTCCCCACAGGTGGTCGAACACACGCTCCACGGGGACCACTCCTCCGCGGCAGGGTCACCTGGCAGGGGCAGAGCAGAAAGTGAGGCCACCGCGTCAGAACCTGGCTGCAGTTTTAGGGAGGGAGGAGGTGGGGATCTCCTGGCAGGCTCAGGAAAACAAGAGAAAACTCTGCCCATCTTTCCCCTTCGTCACTGGCATCTGCCAGCCTGCACCATGGAGACAGAGGGGAGCAGAGAAGAAGCATGGAGCAGACACTGGCTGAAACTGCCCCTCCAATTGTTCCTTATGATCCCTGCCGGCATCCAAACCCCAAGCAGTCCTTTAGCAGCAAAGGTCAAACAAGGTCGTGGCCCAAATGCCTGCATCACCTCTCAACACCTACGCCATGGGAAGGGCGTCGGGAAGACACATACAGGTTGAACCTCTGTAGCCCGGCACCCTCAGGACCGGACCGGTGCCGAACCAGAGAATTTGTCTAGCAGCATCACCAACACTTCCACTGCTCAGAGGACAGGGTAAATTAGGGTACGTCTACACTAGCTCGTTAGTTTGAGTTAGGTAGGCAAATGAGGGCAAGCGGAGTTGCAAATGAAGCCCGGGATTTAAATATCCCGGGCTTCATTTGCATGTTCCCGGGCACCGCCATTTTTAAACCCCCCTTAGTCCGAATTCCGTGCCCGCAGATACACACAGCACGGAGTAGGTAGTTCAAATTAAAGATCCTAATTCGAACTACTGTTACTCATCATGGATTTCTAATTCGAACTACCTACTCCGTGCTGCATGTAGCCACGGGCACGGAGTTCGGACTAAGGGGGATTTAAAAATGGCGGCGCCCGGGAACATGCAAATGAAGCCCGGGATATTTAAATCCCGGGCTTCATTTGCAACTCCGGTTGCCCTCATTTGCCTACCTAGCTCGAACTAACGAGCTAGCGTAGACATACCCTTAGAGCTAAATAACAGCACAGACCATGGAGAGCCAGGACTGGTGGCTGTAAACCAACCTTTATGGGACCGCGGGAAACTTGGACACGCCCATGACAAGTGGACGATGGCTAACTCAAACCATGCCAGACCACGGGTGTTGCCGGAGCAGAGAGTGCCGGACTAGAGAAGTTCAACCAGTAGAAGCATCCCACCGCATCGGAGTTGGGAGAGCAGAGGAGAAGGAGAGACAAGCCTGCATATTCCCTTCCTCCTCATTACAACGCGAAGGACCCGCCTGGTCCATGTTTTGTGCAGGAAGGGAGGCAGGATGCTTTGCCAGTCTCTCAGTGTGAGCAGGTGACACAGGCTGGGGGCGGGAACAGGCTTTGGTACCCTCCTACACACATGAGAGCCTCACCCCGCAGACGGAAGCAAAACAATCACCTCGCGAAACCATGCGCTTCAAATCGAGTCTTGAAAAATGACACTCGGGGTGCCTGTAATGTACCCTACAAAGGTTTCAATATGCAGAGATAGTCCAGAGAGCTGGTTGCGAGACACAGCACCCTTTGACCCAGGAGCAGGGATGAGGTATGACCAATATGTCCCTCCTTGCAGTGCCGTAACAGAGACCACTAACGGCTTCTAGTGCCGCTGGAGATCGGTGGCAGAAGCCCCTGGTGGTATCACTCCTTCAGAGCTAAATGCTCTAAGTGAACCTCACCAGACTGTTAGACTGTGTCTAGACTACATGGCTCCCTCGATGGAGCCATGTAGATGAGGGTTGTAGGCAAAGGGAAATGAAGCCACGATTTAAATAATCGCGGCTTCATTTAAATTTACATGGCTGCCGCGCTGAGCCGACAAACAGCTGATCAGCTGTTTGTCGGCTCAGCGCGCTAGTCTGGACGCTCCCCTGTCGAAATGAAAGCCTTTTATCGACATCCCCGGTAAACCTCAGCCTACGAGGCATAACGGGGATGTCGATAAAGGGCTTTCAGGTCGGCCCGGGAGCGTCCAGACTAGCGCACTGAGCCGGCAAACAGCTGATCAGCTGTTTGTCGGCTCAGCGCGGCAGCCATGTAAATTTAAATGAAGCCGCGATTATTTAAATCGCGGCTTCATTTCTCTTTGCCAAAAAAACAAATCTACATGGCTCCGTCGATGGAGCCATGTAGTCTAGACATACCCTTATAGCCCCGACTGCTCAGGGCGAGCCGTGTGTATCAGCGACTGGCCAGGTAACTGGGATTTCAGTGATTGTGGCAATGTGTATATGACCAGCTGGCATCGGTATCTGTATTAGGTGTCCTATGACACTCCGGAAACTACTGCTCCCTCCGAGTTAGTGCACGGGTTGTTATATTTCATCTGCTTCTGAGGATTTACGCCTTTCAGAAAGATGATACTGAATTACGTCCCACCGGGAGGATTAAGTGAAGGTCGTCAGTGTCTCTTGATTTAAGAGTTACCCTTGGGGAAAGACTCGTGGCAGTGGAAAGTTTAGAGAGAGCCGTAACCACAAAGGGGGTTGGACTTGCCTTGATTTCTCACTGGCTCCTGCCTGGGCTGACACTGCGTGGCGTGATTAACAGGAGAGAGAGATTATAACAAATCTTTGCCTTCTACAAATTCAGGTCCCTCTTTGCTGTAAAACAGCCACCTTCACAGCACAGATCCCCGCAACAAGGTGAGCAGTCTGTTCTTACCGTTCTGTGTTCCCTGCTCGGTGGGAGCGGGGGGTAAGGATGCACCTGACCATGCTCATTGAGCCAATGATGATAAATGCAATTTTGCTCTGTGGATTTGCACCCGGAGATTCCCCCTTCCAGCCAGTAGCACTGCTAGACTCAACCTTTGCTTCTAGGGTGCGTGGGCCTGTGTCAAGAACCCTGGGAGAGCGAAAAAGCATCTGTCTCCAGCATCTGATTTTAGATTCGGGATTGTCATGACGACGGGGCCGGCGCTCTGAGCCCTGCCTGCATGCATGCAGCCATGTCAGAGAGACACAGTGTCACGGGACCTAGTGGGCAAGTTCCCCTCCTAATGAGTAGCCTTCGCCACTACCACCACCTCAGCAGCACCCTGGCCTCCTGCACCAGCGGCTTCCAAACGCCGGGCCGGGACCCAGCGCTGGGGGGTGGGATGTCGGGCGCTGGGTCTTGTTACTGCAAGGGGGTCAGGTGACCAGTGAGGGGGCTAAGGCAGCTCCCTGCCTCTCCTAGCACCACAGACTGCGCTGCACCCCAGCAGCAGGCCCGGCTCTTAGGTGAAGGCGAGGGGAACACACAGGGCTCTGCGCCCTGTCCCGAGCATTCGCTCCACACTCCCATTGGCTGGGAACTGGCTACTGGCTGCTTCTGGGGCACAGCATGGTCTGCGGTGCCGGGAGAGGCAGGAAGCTGCCTTAGCACCCCACCTTACTCAGGGTAAGTCCCTCCTGCCCCAGCCCTGACCCCCAATGCCGAAGCCCCCTCCTGCACCTCAAAGCTCTCCTCCTCAGCCCTGCCCTGGTGCCCGCACTCCAGTCATTTTAAGTCAGCTCACGGCATCAATTATTTTCTTCCGGGGGGTCCTGAGAAAACGAGTTTGAACACCGCTGGCCTAGCAGATGCCCAGCTATGGAAGTAATATTCTGGAAAAGCCCTGCTCCAGCTCTTAGCCTGCTGCTACCAGTCCTCCTTCAGCCCTTCCTGGCTCTCGAGGTACATTTGCACCGCACGGGGAGGAGTACCTGGGGCAGAGGTGGTCATGCCCGAGCCCAGGGTACCACAGCAGGACAGAGGAGATGGCTCGCGCTTCACCGCAGGTGCGCAGGGTCCCCGCAGGGCTTGGATGCGGGTGGCTGGCCCACGCAGAAGCCACGCCACTCCCTCTACTCTCCTGTTATCGCCTGTGCTCGCCAGGTCTAAACCAGCACCCGTATGCCTGCCTGGGACACAATCGCACCCTTCACTTATCGTTCGTTGCTAGCGGCTTGCACTGCTCGGAAAACCACCCCCCCATTCTAGCAGCACCACGCCTCCACTGCACCGGTGTTTAAGCAGAGAGCCAAGTCCAGGGTGCCAAGGCTTGGGGGGAAGGCTGGAACGGCCGCTGTAGGCCAACAGCGCTTGTGGGGTCCCCCAGCAAAGCTCCCTGCTCCCCTGTCGATGGTGATGGAGTTTTTCTGCTTCTGCCTCCACCCTGCTGCAGCCGCTTATGCTCCTGGTTCCTTGGCTATCCTGCGACCGAGAGGCAGGCCCTCCCTTTTATCGAGCTCTTTAAGAGCGGCCTGTCAAGGCTGAGAGCCAGTGCTGAGGAGAGAGGCGGGGGGAAGCCGGCAGTGAGACTCATGTGTCTCCCCTGTCCATGGTACGGCGCAGAGAGAATGGGACATGTCGGCGTCCGCTCTGCAATCTAATCACACGCCGGCTGCCGGCTCGGACGCACATTGAAATGAGCGGCCGGACGCTTCCTGCTGTACGTCGCGGTGCCATGAAAGAAATCGATGTCCTTCTATGGAGTCGGTCTCACCTCCTCCCTCGTCTTTATTTTGAGCAGCCTCTCTTTCGCCATACGGAGAGCTATGATCGGAAGGGAAAGGGACTCTGGAGGGACCTTTTGCAATGATCGGCATGGCTCTTGCATTTCCCCCGTGACCGCTTTCTAATTCAAGAGGGGGGTGTGAATGCTTTATCTCCACTGGCTGGGGAAATTCGCCTCGCCGAGCCTCCAGCCCTGAAGCACTGGCATGCAAGACGTTTCCACTAGTCCTGGACTTGAGCCACGGAGCCGCTCAGAACTAGGGATGTTAAATAGCGGCTAATTGAATAGTCGATTCATCTCATGAATTCTTGTCGGTTACTCGACTATTCTATATTCCCTGGGGGTGGGGCGGGAAGCCAGTGCATTCTGGATCCACTCCTGGGGAGCCCCCTGCCACTCCATGCTACTGCTTCTGTATCAGAGGCAGCAGCACGAGGTGCCAGGTGGGAGTTGGTCCATGAAGGGAGCCAGTTTAAAAAACAGCTCCCCTCACGGACTGGCTGCCTGGCACCCCGTGCAGCTGGCTCTGATAAAGAAGCAGCAGCGTGGGATGGTAGCAGCCCCTGTCTGGCAGGGGGAAGGGTGGAGAGCTGAGCTTCC